AGGTATTTTCGATGTATATTTTCAGAAACATCATACAGCACTGCTAACAAGAGTTTTGCTAAACGTTGAGTACAAAGGGGGGTCTTCAAGGTGTCAAGATAGATAACCATTTCGGTTGGCATGGTAACAGGTAAAAACAACACTTGTTATTTGAGACATACGCAGTGACCCGTCCCGTGACTCGGGAGTGAAGTCGAGTGAGGGTATTCTGTCTTTCTTCACACAACGTTCCAGTCTGGCAAACACCGACACTTGATGACGAAGCTGCGTCAGAGAACCTGTATGAACTGCAGCCGTCAACAACGTTCTACATTAAAGCATGTAATCATGAGGTAAGTGCTTTGTACTTGGCAGTTCTCGTGTCTGCATCTTCCTATTGTGTGTGCTCACCAGCTGCGTGAAGTCACAGACAAGATCCACGGGCACGAGCTTGAGGGCAGGTTCGTTTTACATGCTGTAATTACATTGAAAGTTAGCAATCTGAATTGGATCAAAACAGAAAGAATAGTATTTTATAAGATGCGGTATCCTTAGTGACACGAATGTGTTTGCATGTGCCATGTTTCTTTTTAAAGCAACCCGTGAAGGTCCGGGTGGGGTGAACCTTCAATAACCCGTGCTTGTCTCCCGTGAAGGTCCGGGTTAGAATGAACCTTCAGTAACCCATGCTTGTCGTAAGAGGCGACTAACAGGATCGGGTGGTCAGGCTAGCTGGCTTGGGTGACACATGTCATCGGTTCCCAATTGCGCAGATCGATGCTCATGCTGTTGATCACTGGATTGTGTGGTCCAGACTCGATTATTTACAGAGCGCCGCCATATAGCTGGAATATTGCTGTGTGCGGCTAAAACTAAACTCACTCACTCACCCTTTTTAAAGCAAGGGAACAAATCTGTGCACGTCACACAATGGTGTATGCCCATCCACGTCACGTGACATTGGCACATACTAGTATCTGAATTAACAAGGACTCAATAACATCATCATTGTCACCTTGCCTTGTGGATAGAGCACCTTGCCGATATGTGACCACATCTAGGCTAGTGGATAGAGCACCTTGCCGATATGTGACCACATCTAGGCTAGTGGATAGAGCACCTTCCCGATATGTGACCACATCTAGGCTAGTGGATAGAGCACCTTGCCGATATGTGACCACATCTAGGCTAGTGGATAGAGCACCTTCCCGATATGTGACCACATCTAGGCTAGTGGATAGAGCACCTTGCCGATATGTGACCACATCTAGGCTAGTGGATAGAGCACCTTGCCGATATGTGACCACATCTAGGCTAGTGGATAGAGCACCTTGCCGATATGTGACCACATCTAGGCTAGTGGATAGAGCACCTTCCCGATATGTGACCACCTCTAGGCTAGTGGATAGAGCACCTTCCCGATATGTGACCACCTCTAGGCTAGTGGATAGAGCACCTTCCCGATATGTGACCACATCTAGGCTAGTGGATAGAGCACCTTGCCGATATGTGACCACATCTAGGCTAGTGGATAGAGCACCTTGCCGATATGTGACCACCTCTAGGCTAGTGGATGGAGCACCTTCCCGATATGTGACCATCTCTATACGAGTGGATAGACCCGATTTCACCTGACCTCTCGATATGACCAGCAGTGCCGGACATCCGTAGATCTGAACCCATGACCTCAAACGATGTCAATAACTCAGCCTCGTGTAGTGTGTTGTGTTAGTTCATAAGCACCTAGCAAGAACAAAACCACATTTTATTCAGGACATACATGCATAAACAACATTCTACTGAATGGCCCTCTGGGTTGGCTGCTGAATGTAGCTTCAACAAGTGATTGAGGAAAGTCGTTGTTGTGTGTCATTTCGATGACGCCCTAGTATCAGCATGACAACGCCATGTGGGATGACATAAGTTGAATGTAGTGAAACCCACTTGACAGCTCGGCATGTTTATCACGCCAGGGTGACCCAGCCAGAACACCGTGTAGTCGCCGACTCACAGCGGAGGGGGATCATAATCGTTAACCCATAGAAGCGTCCATTCAAGACACATTATTCCGTTGGTCTGTCGTCTGTCAATTTGACCTCACGTGCAGAGGTTGTGATCGAGAGAGGCGACCGTTAATGTTCGAATATCATTACACTCAAAACGGTAACAATTTGGACATCATGCAGTCTAGACACATCACAGCCTATGAATCCGACACTTGGCATACGGTAGTCTAATGCTTAGTCTCTGAATATATATTATTTTGATAGTACCAAACAAGCCCGCATTTAAATTGAATAGGAGCCCCAGGGAGACCAGAGATTCAGAACCTGAGGAAGTCTAGACTTGCTTTATTTGGGGCTTTAGCACTGTAGACAGGGCTTGGCAGTAGGGACAATAATGTGGTTCAGGGACTGTGAGACAGACTAGGCATACGGTAAACATGTGAGCAAGTTCCCCGAGTTTCATCATGACTATAAGCCCGGAAGTATTTATCAGTTACGCTGAGTTAACTACAAAATATATATTTGAGACATTAAAACTTAACTCTCAACATTCGTAACTGATGACTCGACTCAGGTGCAGCCTGGCTAATGAGTGCAATACAATTCATGGTTTTAAATTAACTTTCATGGTGGCATAAATAGCAAAACAGTTACTGTTACGTGCAACTGAAAACCTAGCTTCAAACTTGGATAAATGTGTGTACACACGATAGGACCGACTTGGTGTGGCGTGTCAGGTTAAATGAGTTCCGACGGGTCAGCAGATGGTCTGTGTGTCATGACATGGGTTGTAATTGTTAAACTATACCAGTTATTCACGACTTAAGACTGCATTTTTGCAAAATGAGGATGGAATTTCAAACGACAGTCCATTTGATCCAAGGGGCGCTACTCCCATTTACAACACGAAGTTCAAGGTCGTGAGCGATGAATGTTGTGATCATCCGTCGACATACTGAAATACTCGGGATGCTCGAGACTGTCATCATAATGTCACGATGCTTGCACTGTTTGTTATTGTTATCAGGCCTTTCCCGATGAGGAATATCTTGCTTTAATCCTATTTACCGACACCAAGTCGAAAAATACGATTTCTTGTGCAAAAGAGTACATATTCTAAAGGCAAAATGTGTGAAAGACGGATGTATTCCCCTGGTGCCATGTCTTGTCATCACTGATTAACACTAATCCTTCCCTATAATCTTCAGCATTAGTCTGCTTCCAAACCCAAATGGAATTTGTTTCCACGAATACTCGAGGGTGCGTAATCTCTGCTCTTCAGGTTTTGTATGTGAAGCATGTAAACTATGAAATATGTCCGCTCAGTTTGCAAATTAATGTGTGCATTGAAGCCTAACTATGGACTATACAATCAGAAGTATCCTGTGAATTTTGTAATGCATGTCTTACAATACCGTATTCATTTAATTGCTATACTGTTACCTCACGTTTCTCACACTGGTTACAAGGACTGTGGACATCTGTCTGAAGCAAGAGTGAAATAAAATATACCAACATGTAACTGTTCTACCATTTACAATGAACGGAGACTTTCACCAGTCTAGGATAAATTGCGACATGCATGGTATCAGCAGTCCTGTCCCCATCGTCACATCCGCTTCTTGAGAGCACGAGGAAAGTTAAATTCAGCATCGGTTACCCACCCATGAACCAAGGCTCTAGAACAGTATGTTGTAAGCGGCGGTGACCTATTCTTGAATACTTAACAAAGACTTTGTTTTGTTTTACAGTGCAGCCTGGTCGCTCTCATCAGTGGAAGATGTTTGTTGACATGTTCAGCAGAGCGTTAGTCGTGTTGCTGGTGTCCTGGTTTACCGATGGAGGTACGTACATGGAGTGCTGTATACAACTAAGCACATTGGAATACCGTTTAAGTGTTGGCTAACCTCCAATATGAAGCTGACATGCTTTGAAATAACTAAAATACTAATCGGCGTACTCGTACAGAATATACCTGCATTTATTTACTACGTTCGTAAATGAGTGTGTTACCGTGCTTGTTTGTTTGTGTGACTACTGTGATTGATCGATTGCACATATCAAACCATACTATTATGTTCACATATTGACACCGTAATGCTGTCAACAAGAAGTAGACATGTAACACACAATATCTATCATGTACGTTCAGTGTAATTAGCGTTCAGGTGTACCTTTGTAATACCGCATTTAATCACAATAACATTCATCGTTGAACGGTTCACCGTACATACAGAACCAGACGTGTGTGCACCGACAGGGCACTTCTGTAGTTGAGCTAAGTACAGCCTTGAAGGTGCGTCTGAGACAGCATCTCAGGAAATGTAATGGCGAATTATGGGAACAACAGAAAGTGACGTCAATATCCGAAGTGTAATATCAAAATCAAAAAGTGTAATTTGTCAACCGTAAGCTTCAGTTAGACATGGGCGTGGCAGGCATAACAGACAGAACAGCTTGACAAGATCGCCTCATGACATTAATTGCACTGCGCAATGAATTCAAATGTGTCACTGTTATTAACAGAGAATTCTGTACCATTACAAATGCAGTAATTGCTGTTGGCGACGTTGCGACGATCGCTATGCAAGCGCAAATCCTCTTGGCCATGATCGGTATTGGGGCGGTATTGTCATCTTTGATAGGAAAAGTGTCACACATGACAGGCGAACTAGTTATTGTGAAAGGGTATCCGAATGGCCAGCACTATTCTTAGGTGATCTATTCGCAAGAACAATCCCCGGAAACCTTTACCTGCGAAATGACAATATTTATTAATGCCAGACCAAATTTGGTTCAGATGATCACTGCTTATCTACTATGACAAGAGTACGTAAACTACGTACACGTACCCTGACATACCCAGAGAAGACCCCTAATAGAAACGGCGCGGTTACCGATGTTCCAACGATGTTTCTTCTTAGCTTATCAATGTAAGCCCTAGAAGAGTTCAAAACATCATTCATTTTTCAATAATTTCAGTGACGTCTTATCCACAATTATCTTCCCCGTTCGATGAGTCTTCGTGTGTGGGAAGAGGACGGTCAAGTGGTCATCCCAGTGCAGGTAACAGGGAACTTCACGGACCCAGTGACACTGACCATCAACACCACGGATGTCACTGCCATCTCCCCTGGGGACTTCACTGCCCTCTCGTCACACACCGTCACTGTGACCCCTCCGGCCCGGGGGGACGCTCGTCACCATTGGGATTGTGATTGACGGGGTGAGACGAAATATACTTGTCATTATGAGATTATCTCAGTCAGGATTGGTGCAGTAGAAATGTTCCCAATATTTTACAACATTTAATGTCCAGTTAAATAAATACATAGATAATCCACAGTCCAAGAAATGATGTTTTCACAACATGTCATGAATCATACCAGTTCATATGTACAAGGTTAACAACGACGAACACTAGTTACCTAATGGTTACCGTTTCAAAAACCTCGCAGCATTGTGATTGATGGGGTGAGATACTGCAAGGGTGGCTTATTTCACGAGATGTACGCGAACATGAGGCATGTTGTTTATAACGGGTCCAGTGAGGAATATATACCTACACTTTCTTACTCCAGGACCCGGAGGGAGAGGAAACATTCAATGTAACAATTGAAGCTCCCAACCTGACCAGACTCGACCTGACTGTTTGTATTTCGGATGAGGAAATCGGCCATGACGGTAGGCACTAGGGGTTAATTATTGCCCAAAACATAATGTGATTACTTCAACTATATCAATAACATAGAAACTTTGGTTTGTGTGTATTTCGATATAAATGTACATACATACACATACTCTGGCTCCATGTGTGCAGTCATACCTCTTCATTAAACCGTGCTGTTTTAACAATACCAACACTTAAAGATAACTTTGGTTTAACGTTATTTGGCTGTTTTATAATTCAATAGCCTGCTGTCGAATACAGTTGCCACGTGTATTTAAATATTATTTCGAACTCCCTATGATGATGAGACCACAAATACCTAAAGATGGTAAACAAAATCATGTCAAACATATACATCCAGGCTTGTAAGGAGGCTGTTGTTTGTGAAGAAACGGCGAGTTGCTATCACTTCTCATTACAGACGTAATATAGAAAAAGGGCAACGAAAACTGCTGTGTGACACGAAGTACACAGCAGCATGTACGACGAAGACGTATTTCACTTTACACATAGAAATAACATACAGTTTATCAATGGATTTATTTCACTTTACTCACCAAATATAGACAATATGCACAGAATCATATATGCACTAAATGTATTTCACTTTACGAACAGAAATTGAACAATGTGCTCAACATTGTATTATGCCAAACACCATGAGTTTGTAGACGATGTGTGCAGTTAACTTTATGCGGTAAATGTGTTTGATCACAAACACGCAGAATGACTGTCACTGCAATCGGCGGGAAATGCTGTATCACCCCGACAACAACATCTACCTTCACTCGCAGTAGATTGTTGGGTGCACAAGACTTGTATTCACTGAAAACATGCACACTGAATAGAGCTGCATAGATAATCCCCTACACATGTACAGATACCGGGGCTTCACAGAGCATGACTGAATCTCAACAGTAAGTATAAAAGCGAGAAACATCCATCCGCATTCATAAGAAATCTCTGCTTAAATCAGAATCCATTGCACACAGCCACACAATGACGTAATAATTGGACTGCGCTGGTGGCGCCAGTCACAAACACATGCAACGGCAAGTGTAATGTTCTCCTGAACATAATTTATAACACTGGATTATATGGTTTCAGTCAAAAGGGATTTGCATGGGACTTAATTTTTGTCACTGGTGCGTCAAGTTTGAAAAAGTGTCTACGCATCTAAGAAATACTATCAGAAAGATAAGAGTGACACAACTTTTGATATAATTTTATATCTTTCTTTTTTAGATATATTGTTTATCAGTGTAACAGGATATCTGACGGAGATTTGCATTAGTCGTTGAGCGTCATGTGGCCATATATTTTGTCAAGATGATTGACCAATTCACAAAGCGCCTTATATCAGGTTATTTATCACGAAAAGTTAAACTCATTAATATCGCGTGAATTCGGCTCTATTCCCAAGACAATCAAGGATTGGACGAAGCATACTCGTAATCAAACGTCCACTGTCAACGTATTGCATCCCATTCTTCCTGCAGGGCAACGCCATGATACCAGTAATCCCGCCGCGCACACTTCACTGAGCTACCCCCACCCCCACCACCCGACCCCACCCCAAACAACAAACAAAAAAACAACAAACATCGCTACGGTATGGCAGCTACGGTGGGCCAGGTCACTGTCTGTTGCACCTGTCAATGAATGCATAGCCAACCTTGATCCGTCCGAAAACAACGTTTGCCCAAGAACGACTGCTCCAGCGCTGTCGCTTTTGACACCAACGGCAATGTGAACGGATGTGACGGTCAGTCAATTGTGGTGTTACACGTGGAGGTCAGGTATGGTGGTTTGTGTAGCCAGTGTCCCCACTCCACACCCTCAAACCCCTGTGTTTCTGTGAAGCTCATCTCCAGTTTGAGAGGTACTTTGACCAAGTGCAATATTTCACCAAAGACGGGTTCTGTTGGATATAGATCAGCACTGAATGGAATTCAAAATTGAATATTGACTTTCGACTATTATATTAGAAAATTTAGTCGTATGGCCTTGTGGGGAGTATTGTATCATTTCGTTTCGTCATGCATTGATCTAAATATGAAACAGATGAACTAGAGCCCCCGGAGATTCCTACGTTTCTTCTCCTGAATGTCACATAGATGTTAAACAAGACGAAGTCAAGCAATTATCGTTCTCTCGGTTTACCAAAGATAACATTTAAAGATGACAGTTACTTTCATTTTTAGACGATCTTTCATCGATATATATGCTCCCCAGGATAAACAAACAATAATATTACAAGGAGAGTTTTTTCCTGATTTTGATTGCCAAATCAATAACCTTATATATGTATATATAGGTTTATAGGTTGATGTAGAAATAGAACCTCTATGATTTCAGGTAACTCTCCTCCACAATTATCTTCCCCGTTCGATGAGTCTTCGTGTGTCTGGGAAGAGGACGGTCAAGTGGTCATCCCAGTACAGGTAACAGGGAACTTCACGGACCCAGTGACACTGACCATCAACACCACGGATGTCACTGCCATCTCCCCTGGGGACTTCACTGCCCTCTCGTCACACACCGTCACTGTGACCCCTCCGGTCCGGGGGACGCTCGTCACAGTTGGGATCGTGATTGATGGGGTGAGTTATAATGCTAGACTTGTAAATATGCTACCTAGATCTACTGAAATTACCCTTGACGAAAATATGTTCAATTTGATAATAGCACGCTAGCGCTAAATGATTCATGTAACATGAACATCTAATATATTGCACATAAAATGACAGAATCAAGAGGAAGAGGAAAGTTTCGAAGTGAGAATTGAAGCTCCTGGACTCAACACACTCGTTGTGACAGTCTGTATCAGTGATAAAGAGGTGACCAAAGGTACGTTCTGCACGACACATGTAATCGTGCATGCGAATATTTTAGCTCTTAATGATTGTGCCTATAAAATCGTCTAAGAAAATATGTATAGAAAGATGATCAAACCTATTTTATAACTTTGACCCTTTGCTCAGGTGACCTCCTGAAGCTGAGAGTGCCCAGAAGCATATCTGTGTCTGAAAACGAAACCGCTAAGATTCCAATATGGAGGGGACCCTTTGACACAGGCCCTCTGCCCCTGGCTGTGAAGTATGAGTTTGGCAGCGCCAGAGGGGGCCGGGATTATTCAGCTGTCAGCAGGCTGGCGTTTGGGGAGGGAGAAGCAAAGGCATGGCTGGAGATCCCAATACTCAATGACGAGGTACAGGAAATGCTGACACAAGATTCAGCGAATAGGGTGCATTTTACACCACTTTTAGTAACAATTCAGCAATAACACTGCCCTCGTCTATAGAAATGGCCTTCACACATAGTGTCTATACAGGCAATTGACACTACGGCTTGGCCGTGGCGAGCGTCCGATACAGTTTTTTCGGCTTCATTAGAATAATACATTTATGTTTTCTATAATACAAAACAAACTTTGTTTTATATATAAATAACATTTTGCACAGATTGCCTATGTAAAACGGTCCCTGTAACAGGAACCTTGCTACTCAGGCTCACTGTTAAGCAGCAAGTAACATCTTCATCAATTATAGTGAATGTCAAATTGTCATATCAGTTGAAGAACGTTTTCACTGTTTGTGCTCAATGAAAACAGTTACATGTCCAGATATTATAATAGTTGGAGATGTTCCTTGTTGTGTCAGTTACAGATACTCTCGTTGCGGTGGTGTTCAAAGCGTTCGCTCACGCCGAAGACACGGGTTCGATTCCCCACATGGGTATAATGTGTGAAGCCCATATCTGTTACGTCAGTTACAGTAGTCTCGTCTTATGGTTGTTACGGGTTCTGTGTGCTACGTCAGTTGCTGGTGTCTCGTCTTATGGTTGTTACGGCTTCTGCGTGTAACGTCGGTTACTGGTGTCCCGTCTTATCGTTGTTACGGGTTCTGCGTGTCACGTCAGTTGCTGTTGTCCCGTCTTATGGTTGTTACGGGTTCTGCGTGTCACGTCAGTTGCTGTTGTCCCGTCTTATGGTTGTTACGGGTTCTGCGTGTTACGTCGGTTACTGTTGTCCCGTCTTATGGTTGTTACGGGTTCTGCGTGTCACGTCAGTTGCTGGTGTCTCGTCGTATGGTTGTTACGGGTTCTGCGTGTCACGTCAGTTGCTGGTGTCTCGTCGTATGGTTGTTACGGGTTCTGCGTGTCACGTCAGTTGCTGGTGTCCCGTCTTATGGTTGTTACGGGTTCTGCGTGTCACGTCAGTTGCTGGTGTCTCGTCGTATGGTTGTTACGGGTTCTGCGTGTTACGTCGGTTACTGTTGTCCCGTCTTATGGTTGTTACGGGTTCTGCGTGTCACGTCAGTTGCTGGTGTCTCGTCGTATGGTTGTTACGGGTTCTGCGTGTCACGTCAGTTGCTGGTGTCTCGTCGTATGGTTGTTACGGGTTCTGCGTGTCACGTCAGTTGCTGGTGTCTCGTCGTATGGTTGTTACGGGTTCTGCGTGTTACGTTAGTTACTGGTGTTTGCTACAGGTGTTGCTTATTGTGTTGTACATGTTCTGCTTGTTATGCCTGTTACAGGTGAATGAGTCGGGAGAGACGTTCTATGTGACATTTATCGCGGAGGGATACTTCGATGAAACCATGAATGTCACAATCCTCGACGATGATGGTAAGACACAGTTTCCGTTACAGCTGCCCAACTGTTCACTGACATTTATTAAAAACATTCATCTTGTAATTGTTATGCTTTTCATGGAATTCTGAACTTAACATTTACGATTTGGTTTAAACATATTTCATTTAAATCAAGAAGAAAGAAAAGGATTGGCAAACAACCCTAAATGGCTTAAATTAATGCCGCTCCATAGTACACGTGAAGGTTCACATTCGTGCATAATGTTGTACATATTTATAGTGGTTATAACAAGTTATCTCTGAATGGTAACAATCATGGATATCAACAATTTATCTTGGTTTTGTTTCGTGGCCAGTTGATACAAATAGAAAATAAGAGAAGCTACAAAACTTTTATGAATCAAATCGTTTTGAGTAATAATGAATTGATGGACTTACCGAAGAATATCCATATTCGTCTGATGAGATACTAAGTTATTGCCAGTTAGCACATCCCGCAGGGAGAAACCTTTCGCATAGAAATATGATTCGTATCGAATGGTATTATATTTAGGACACATGAAAAAATAGTGGAATACATCCTCATAATCTTGTGAGCAGGAACAAGAAGCATTATCAGAAATGAAACGATTATACTTATCGCTGTTTAAGTCACTGCATCCCAATCTAAGGCGACAGTGTATTATTTGACAAAATCGACTTCCAAAAGTTAGATCGAACAATGTGTTGGCATTAACTTGTGGTGTGATGAGATTCTTAAACAGTCCAACAGAGGAAGCGTTTGTAGCATTTGTAGGTAGGCCATTCCACAGTTTAATTGTATTGGGCAAAAACGATTTGGCATAATTAGTAGATTTGCATCTTATAGTCTGATAATTTTCATTATTCCTAAGATTGTAGTTACTGTTATCAGAAACATTCCCTGGAGCAAGATCACAAAGATAGTCAGGAACCATATGGTTTACCATTTTGTAAAATAATGTTAATATAGAAGTTTCTCTCCGTTTCGCTAAGGAAGTCAGGTTTGTCTCATGATACAGTTTCGCATGGCTCTGCACTTCATTTATAGGGGTACCATTCATCGAGAGGGGTGGTTTCATAGAAGGTTTGGTTTTGTGTGAAAATTGGAAAGTTTCAGATTTGTTTGGATTAAATTTTACTTGCCAGGTTTCCTCCGATTTAGATATTCTGTCTAAATCTGAGTTAAGAATAAATGCACTCGTATGGGGATCGTCGATTATTATACTGAACCGCAAAAGAAACGCAAGTTGATGTAGAAATGTCAATATTTCTGAATCTATGGAACAAACAATCTGAACACTACGAAACAACAACAGACAAGTGATTGTTTAAGAAATGAGTCGTGATCTCCGGTGAAAACAACACTCAAGTTTACTGTAAAAGCATATGTAATCACTCCACCCTCACACACCAAAAATGTCACGAAACAGTGTGTCAATCAGTAGCGTGTGTGACCACCATTGGCTGCAATGCAGGCAGCACAACGACGTCTCATCGAGTCAACAAGTGTCTGAAAGAAGGCTTGGGGAATTTGATTCCATTCCCTGACCAATCTGGCTTCCAAATCTCTAAGGTTTTGAGGTTGAGCAGCTGTCTGTATCCGTCTACCAATTTCATCCCACACATGCACGATTGGTGCCATATCCGGGGACAGAGAGGGCCAGGGCAGTACAGCAATGTTGTTCCCTCTGAGGAAGTCCATAGAGACCCGTGCAGTGTGAGGACGAGCATTGTCTTGCTGGAACGTCTGGAGCTGAGGTTGGGCCTGGAATAGCGGTACAACGTGGTGTTGAAGGACCTGGTCTCTGTAGACTACAGCAGTCACACGTTGACGAAACACGTGTAAACGTGTTCTGTGGTGGTAGCTGAAGCCACCCCATACCATGAGACTCCCACCTCCCCAGCGGTCAGCTTCCACAACACAACAGTTGGCGTAACGTTCATTACGTCGTCTCCATACACGTAATCGGCCATCGGCGTGGGACAAGTTGAATCTGGACTCATCAGAAAACAACACTTGTTGCCATTGTTGACGTCGCCAGCGCCTGGTGTTGTCGCGCCCACTGTAAATTATTTTGGCGGTGACGTTGCGTCAGAATCGGTCCGACGTAAGGACGGCGACATCTGATCCCTGCTGCCCTCAGACGACGACGAACAGTGTCTGCAGAGATGTGACGTTGTGGCCCTTGAATGGTTGCAGCTGTCTTTGTTGCTCGTTGCTGTCGGTTACGCAGATGAGTAACCCGGATGTGACGATCTTGCGCTGGAATTGTTACCCTGGGACATCCTTAACGTGGTCGGTCTCGAACATTACCGGTTTGACGATACCTTGCAGATAGTCTTGTGATTGTTGTCACGTGACATCTGAAGTGCCTGGCCACTGCAGTTGGAGTGGATCCGGTCTGCAACATTCCAACGGCGATTCATCGTTGCTGTTCAGTTAGACGTGGCATGTTTTCTCCGCGTTGTCACAGTCAATTTTGTGTTCTATGGTGTTTTTTGAATGACCTGCCTTATAAAACTTCAAATTGGAGTGAAATGCACGCATTTTTGTGTGAAACACAAAAACTTCATGCGAAAAACACGAAAAACATGAAAATGATTGCGTTTGGGCGATATGGTCAAGAATAAGCGGCAACAACGGTAAAACCATCTTCGAATGCTTGGTTCTATAATGGTATACTTTGTTGTCCTAAAAGGAATGCATTTGGAACGTATGTTTTGAAAATAGTAACTTGCGTTTCTTTTGCAGTTCAGTATACATAGAGTGATGTGTCGTCTGCGAAAAGGCATGTATTGCTTTCGATTCCATCAACTATGTCGTTCATGTATATTAAGAATAAAAGAGGTCCAAGGACTGATCCTTGGGGCACTCCGGCTATTATCGGTTTTAATTCTGATTTGTAACCTTGAATAACTACTCTTTGCATTCTATTTTGCAAATAACTTCCAAACCAATTCAATAACTTCCCATCTATCCCACATGATTTTAGTTTATGGATAATCCATTTGTGCCAAACTTTATCAAATGCCTTGCTTATATCGCAAAATACAGCTCTTACTTCTTTTCCGTTGTCTTTAGCTTTAGCAATAAGATTATACAAATGCGTGAGTTGGTAAGCTGTTGAATCTCCTGGCATGAATCCAGATTGTAAATTTGAGAGGCAATTGTTATCTCTCATGAAGTTAAAGACATATTTAAATAAAAATACATTTTTCAAAGACCTTGGATAAACAAGATGTTAAGGCAACGGGTCTATAGTTCGAACAGTCGTTAATATTACCTTTCTTGTGGATTGGTATGACTGATTCTTTCCATATGTCTGGGAAAGCTGATGATTGAAGTGACTTGTTAAAAAGGATAGTTAATACTAGTGACAAGGAGGGGGATACCAAACGTAGGAAGCGGTTTCCAATACCATCTGGTCCACTCGCTTTGGTAATGTTTAACGATGATAGAACATCTTCAACATCCTGCCTTGTAAGATATAAATTCCTCATATATTTACTATTATTGTTTAAGGTCATATTTAGAAGATCCTTATTAGGGTCAGCGATTGTTGCCTGGTCAAAAAAGTAATATTTAAAACGTTTACTTTTGATTCTGGTTCTTGATAGACTTCGCTATTGTGGGTAATAGGAGGAAAGGAGGTACTTTCAGATTTTTTGTTCATATAGTTTTTAATTAAACGCCACCATAGTTTAGTGCTATGATTACTCTCCAGAAAGAACTCTGCGCTCATCACAACAACTGTTACTTGCTGTCCCGAGCTACAATCTCAAATCATTTGGCTCAATGACCTTTTCATATGCAGCAGCTTCTCTGTGGAACTCTCTCCCTATCGAGTTAAAATCATCTCCTTCCCTAAGTACATTCAAAACACGATGACTTCCAATCATCCGTACCTGCCAACTGTATATAGTTTTAACTTGAACTCAGGAAGCGCTTTGAGCATATCCCTGTGACGTGGAAAGGCTCTATATAAATGGCCTATTATTATTATTATTAATTTGAGTGTCTAATTTTGTTGTTTAATCTTTCTTGGCTTTTCTAACTGCAGAAGTCACTTGATTTCTTAGTGATCTAAAAGTAGCCCAGTCATTTTCACCATTTGTTTTGTTTCGCTATTTTATGTTGTCGATGAGTTTGCGAATGTTATTATTCATCCAGGGAGTATTTTTACATCTTATTGTAACAATTTTGTTTGGTATATTGGAATCGCAGATATGAGATAAGGTTTTCACAAATGCACCTGTGCTCACATTTATGTCAGGTGATGACAGTACGTTTTCCCAATCAGTATTATCAACGTGGAAGCAGATATCGTCTGTGTTTACCAATGTGTAATCATAAACTATTCTCAGATATGTTTTCGTTGACTTCATACATTATGTTATTGTTACGGATACTGGACAATGATCGCTACAAAAAGGTTCTAAAACATTTTATCAAATCAATAAGGGTTCTACTGTTTTGGGTGACTCTAGTTGGTGAGTTTATAAGTTGATGCAAGCCGTAAGCCACTTTAAGATTGCTTACTTTAGCGTCTAATTTGTTGTAAAGATCAATGTTAAAATCTCCAACAATGATTGTATCTAAATCCATATCCATTGCATCTCCAATCGATTGATCTAACAGGTTCCAGTACTGCTCACTTTTGTCTGCTCTATAAAATACACCCACTAGATACTTCCTGCTTTTGTAGCGGGGCTCTATCCATAATGCTTCCAGATCAATCTTATCTAAGGTTTCTACTCGTTTGGGGATGAATGTGTTCTTAACGTAGACAGCGACACCACCACCCCGTCTAGGTCTATCTTTTTCTAAAGGGACACTGAAAGCCTGGAAAAAGAGTATTCCTATCTAAAATACCTTCATGGAGCCAGATTTCTGTCAAACGGATAACGTCATATTCGTTCAGTTCTAGACCTATGATTTCAATTTTATCTTTAACACTACTAGCATTTAAATGGATAAGTTTAAGATCAGTATAACACGTTGGTCCTGGGTTGGGATGGATATCACCTCAAAGTAATAGTAATAAGGTTAGGAGTAGAGATATTCTAGCATCGTAAAGGCACGTCACCATTACTACAAACTTTCGAAAGTTTAATAGATGTATTTTTTCAGAAGAGTATTTTAGAGAGAACAAACCCACCGATTGCCTGTATTGAGAAATGTTAACTGGCATTATCGGTCGTTATGAGATCACATGAATGGCGACAATGGTGGGGATACAAACTAGAACTGGTATAAACTGACCACGAAACATGAATTAAGTCACGTCTGCAAAAGTGGTAACAATCAATTACATTCTGAATACATTAAAATATAACATTTAGAAACATACATGCACTATGTGAACTCAGATCAATTGTCATGAAGGGGAAAGTCACGAACAGTAATTGTTGTAAAGAACAAAGAAGGTAAAAAGTAAAAAGGCAGATTATAACCATGATCTGCCGGATAGAAAGGGGGGAAAAGGACACTCATGGAGTTTACAAGAAAACAACTCTTAAATTCAGAAACACAAACTGTGAAAAGAAATTATAACCCCGTTTACGAGATGTAAACCTGCATACTAAAACACATGCAATCAAAGAAGACATATATTTTGTCGTATAATGTTGATTAACTTCAATAACATGAAAGTGAATGGGAAAAACACACACAAAAGACCAACAGAAAAACCCAATACAATCAAACTAACATAATGAAAAAGAAACTTACACGTGAATCACGTCGCACCATGTCAATAACGCATGCTTTTCTCGTGCATAACTGTTTCCATGCCATTTCATATCACGTCGAGCATAATTAAAGCGGGCATCAGGCAGGATTAACTGTTTCTACAAGTTTATAAGTGTTGTGGCTGATTTGTAATACCGAGATGCATTGCATAGCATTGTGATGTAACTTGGTTTGCATAGTTTAAAAAACATTAGGAAGATATCTACAACAGGATATTAAGAAATATGATAGGATTGCAACGTTGAATGACGTAAATTTAACCACAGCGTCATCAATGCACTCTTCTCCCGGGCGGTATGCCGTTTTCGTGCTAGTTCAAACCGTGACATACATGATTAAGTCGGGAAACAAGATTTCCCCATTTGCAAAACATCACTGAGATGACTCCTAAATATAGCAACACATAATGTTTGTGTTCCCCGTCATGTAATAACATTATTAAGGTAATAAGTCATTCAGAGTGAGTGCATACTAAAACATTGCATATCAAAGAAGACATATATATTTGTCGTATAATGTTATTAACTTCAATAACATGAAACTGAATGGGAAAAACACACACAAGAGACCAACAGAAAAACCCCAATACAATCAAACTAACATAATGAAGGAGAACGTTACACGTAAATCACATCACGACATGTCAATATCGCATGCTTTTCTCGTGCATATCTGTTTTCATGCCATTTCATATCATGCCGAGCATGATTAAAGCGGGCATCAAGCAGGATTGACTGTTTCTACAGGTTTATAAGCGTTATGGCTGATTTGTAATACCGAGATGCATTGCATTAGTAAGGTACTAAGTCATTCAGAGTGAGTGAGTATGGTTTTACGCCGCTTTCAGCACTATTCCAGCAATATGACGGCTAGGGACGCCAGAAATGGGCTTCACATATTGTACCCATGTGGGAAAACGAACCCGGATCCTCGGCGTGACGCTTAAACCGCTAGGCTACCTTCACCGTCCCCAAGTCATTGGGAAGTGTGTAAGGGTTTTGAATAAGGATTGCAGAAGAACATCAGGATGTGTCATTGACAAGTGAACGGGATGTATGTTTACATGCTATTTCCATACATTACTGTTCAAGGTTAAATCGGACAGCAATCAATACACTTGTTTTCTGTTTCCTTAAAAACAAATATAAAAATACGTTATTGTGATACCAGTAAAGTATATTTTGACTGAATGTATTTGTTAATTATTAGTCATTCCCTTTGTAGAAAAACCTGGAGAAATATTCAGACATTTGCACAGTCGTGATTCAACGTATTACGCATTTCGTTTGAAGCGAGAACAACGTCTATTTCTGACTAAGGTTGATCACCATTTTCGACCTCGTGGCCTCGCAGACCTCCTGGAAGTGGGTATTGTTAGCAACTTTCTTTACAGTGCCATCCAAGAGTTTAATAAGAATAACACCCCTTGTAACCCAGGTTCCCTCGACTTTCTTCTCCTTGACATGTTCACGAGCTTGTCTGGCAATGGTAGTTCAAGGGCCAGTGAGATCTTCGTTTATGAAGATCTTAGGGGCTCCTGGTTTACGAGCAAACTTGAGTTTAGAACGTGATGCCAGAATGGCGCGCTTGGAGGCGTTACTGACAAATCTCACAATAATGGGACGGGGAGGGTCCTGGGGCGTAGCTGGGCGTCGGGGGACGCGGTGGCTGACGTCAATATCAGCTGGAGTCAGATCTACACCGATAGATTTCGCCACTTGTAACACAAGATTGTCAGTGTTGTCGTTCTCAGTCTCAAGTACACCCAAAATACGGAATATTGTTCACTGCGGTCGAGCTTTTGAGTGAGCGTTTCTATAACTTTATCTTGCTCTGTGATAGTGTTTGTCAACCCGGACACTTTCTCCTCCAGGGCTTTATGTTTAGCAACTAACTCTTCCATTTCTTGACGGAACATGGGTCGGATAACCTCACCAACAGCCGCGGATATAGCGGGAAGGACGTCCTTATTTTGAAAAGCCTTCAACATTTCACTGACTAAGTGAACAGAGTTAGGTTCAGTGTCACCAGCATGGAGCTGTTCACTTTCCTCGCTCATATTGACAAAACTATCACAAACGTTTAGCTCAGAGTTATTTTGACACTGGCGTTTCTGATCAAAATCAGAGTCAGAGTCTGGTCAAGTAAACACTTGTTCACGATTTCGTTTACTAGAAGATGGCGTACTTGTACAGGCGTTTTTTCCATAGGTTTCAGTTCAAAGTTAATTTGATATACGCAAAATAACATCAAGTACTCACTTTGGTAATTCAACAAATCCGAGTCAAATCCTCAGAAAACCAGTGAATCACATCCAGAGCACATTTCACTGATTGTCGACGCGTCATGCACAACCAATGGCGTGGGGCACGATTTTCACGATCGTATTCACTTTCTGACAATCTGACAGATATCGTCAAAAGTAAAAGTCATCTTCTCATAAAATTCAGCTTTCAAGGGCATTATACAATGCTACACATGATTTTGGGTGTTATGAAAGTGGATGCTGTGAATTAATCCATGAAAGCCTTTAGTTTGTTAGTTCAGTGAGAGAGGCCCCAGAACACGTCCGATCTCCATCATGACGTCACAATATCTCGAACATTCACGATTTAACTTAACTATTACGTTAGATGGAACCACGAACAGAGTAATGCATTCATGAGAATGTCATTATAAAAAACAACAAAACATATGCGTGAAAGTGAACGAACTGTTGTCAATATTTGTAGGAAAGGACACGGTACTGTTGGACTTCATCGTGTCTGATCAGAGGTGTATCTCTGAAAATGAAACAACCATCCAGCTGCAGGTGGGGCGGCCAGCCACAGACACGGGTCCACTGAATGTCTCTGTACAGTATGACAACGACAGCGCCGAGGCTGGCAGCGACTTCTCCACAACTACCACCCGCCTGGAGTTTGCTGGGAGTGACGAGAATGTTACGCTGCTGATTAAATGACGAGAATGTTACGCTGCTGCTGATTAATCTTGTCCAGGACGAGGTAAACTACATGGGGTGGATCCACATGACGAGAATGTTACGCTGCTGATTAATCTGGTCCAGGACGAGGTAAACTACATGGGGTGGATGAGTTTGCTAGAAATGACGAGAATGTTACGCTGCTGATTAATCTTGTCCAGGACGAGGTAAACTACATGGGGTGGATGAGTTTGCTAGAAATGACGAGAATGTTACGCTGCTGATTAATCTTGTCCAGGACGAGGTAAACTACATGGGGTGGATGAGTTTGCTAGAAATGACGAGAATGTTACGCTGCTGATTAATCTTAATCTTGTCCAGGACGAGGTAAACTACATGGGGTGGATGAGTTTGCTAGAAATGACGAGAATGTTACGCTGCTGATTAATCTGGTCCAGGACGAGGTAAACTACATGGGGTGGATGAGTTTGCTAGAAATGACGAGAATGTTACGCTGCTGATTAATCTGGTCCAGGACGAGGTAAACTACATGGGGTGGATGAGTTTGCTGGAAATGACGAGAATGTTACGCTGCTGATTAATCTTGTCCAGGACGAGGTAAACTACATGGGGTGGATGAGTTTGCTGGAAATGACGAGAATGTTACGCTGCTGATTAATCTTGTCCAGGACGAGGTAAACTACATGGGGTGGATGAGTTTGCTAGAAATGACGAGAATGTTACGCTGCTGATTAATCTGGTCCAGGACGAGGTAACTACATGGGGTGGATGAGTTTGCTAGAAATGACGAGAATGTTACGCTGCTGATTAATCTGGTCCAGGACGAGGTAAACTACATGGGGTGGATGAGTTTGCTGGAAATGACGAGAATGTTACGCTGCTGATTAATCTGGTCCAGGACGAGGTAAACTACATGGGGTGGGATGAGTTTGCTAGAAATGACGAGAATGTTACGCTGCTGATTAATCTGGTCCAGGACGAGGTAAACTACATGGGGTGGATGAGTTTGCTAGAAATGACGAGAATGTTACGCTGCTGATTAATCTTGTCCAGGACGAGGTAAACTACATGGGGTGGATGAGTTTGCTAGAAATGACGAGAATGTTACGCTGCTGATTAATCTGGTCCAGGACGAGGTAACTACATGGGGTGGATGAGTTTGCTAGAAATGACGAGAATGTTACGCTGCTGATTAATCTTGTCCAGGACGAGGTAAACTACATGGGGTTGATGAGTTTGCTAGAAATGACGAGAATGTTACGCTGCTGATTAATCTTGTCCAGGACGAGGTAAACTACATGGGGTGGATGAGTTTGATTGAACGCCGTTTTGAACACTACTTCAGTTACATCACGGCGAGTCAATCTGGAAAAACTCCAAAGATATTGTTGTTATTGTTGTTGTTATTGAGAGATTCTGGTCATAGGCTTGGGCATGATGACAGATGAAGAGCCAATCAGGGCAAGGGCGCGATATAAAAGGACAATGAATAGTTGGTAACATTTTTCAAAATATGAAAGTCGTTTCTGTCAAGAAACATGTTTCAACGTTCACGACGTTTACTCTGCTTGTATGCTTGAAATGACGTATTGATAGACAGACTAATCACACATTCCTGGGGACCAATTACAGGATACACTTCCAGTGCTGACTGAATTAACTGACAGCTGTGATTGGAGGAGTTTGTGTCAGACTTGTGTGTTTCTTTAAAGGTACATCTAGTAAATAAAACTGACCATATTTTATAATAGATTTTTACATGATGACTTATACACGATGTGACCACAGAGACCATCGAACGGTTGACATTTTGTGCGGAACTGGGGTTGGCCTGTTTAGTTTCCTGTACTCGGAAAAGAAGCTGGCTGATGGGGTCATATTTTCTATTTGTGTTGTTTCTTAAGGCCAGAGTATGCCCCTATGTACATGTAATAACTTATCTTAGTTTATGTTTTAAAGAATATAACAATACTATAGAAGTCAATGTGGAAATACTTGGTTTTGTGTAGCCCCAGCAACGCGATTAAATACAGATTATTTCAACACTTGAATCTTTGTGTTTCTGCATAGATGTGAAGATGTTATTGTGTTTGACAGTAAGCCAGTTATCGACAGTACTAGCGGTGACCATCTTGGTGAACACAATTAAGATGGACATCAAATCTATCGACTCGATCCTTGCCAAGACTGACAGTGACAGTAAACAGCATTTTACAGAAGTCCTTGACGGTGCTTTAATATTTAGTTGAAACATCTTAATAATCACATCTGAATGATCGGCCAGTTGATCGGTGATGACAAACACGGCATATTGTCAGCTGCTGAAATCTCCCCAGACACATTGGTCGTGTCGGTCATAATGACGTCCTCTGCTTGATGTGAATGTAGTACGACGCTCTGTCACTGCGACTCAGAAGTTGTTCGTAACAGGCGATTCTCGTCTAATGTGGATATTGTTTAAATCTATTAGTTGCAACAGAAGTATAATCGACTATATTGAAGTCCTATATGAGCTTACATACTCTGATCTCGTCTTGAGGGTGTATCTGTTTCTGCGATCCTACGGAATAGTCTGCCAGTGTAAACATGAGGTCACACGTACTAATTGTCTCTTCATCTTTCGAGGACCAAAATATTGACATCAAAACTATAAATATTATTACTTCCTCTTCGTTCGAGTTCACTGGAGTGTGAAGTTTTCATGAATGAGGGCCAAACTGGGGTCATTCAGTGTGTGAGTTATACGAACAATATGTCAGCGATACTATCACTACAATCGGTCAACTCACTCTATCAATGGTGAGTGTACTGCTGCTTGTAGAAACAAACAGATATATTTTTATAAACATTGGGGGACTACTGGTCGACTAAGACGAGCCTAACAGTTTAACCACCGCCTGTGATCTGTTCATAAAGACTTCACAGCTGTTTTGCGTTTTGGGCCCACTTATATATGTTGAGGTAGATACTTCACCTTTCTCTTGGGTTGGGTTACATTAACATGGTAACACATGAACGTATAGCTTACATGTAGGATATATCCTGGAATTGTGTTTCTCCTTGGTGGTGAAGGGAAGGAGTGATGAGTCTGTAATGATCGCCTTTATTTTCTCAGGTAATTGAGTCACGAGAAGTCTTCTTCATAACTCTGACCGCCGAGAGGTACTTCAGTAAAACTGTCAAACTCTGCATTTCTGGAGACACTGGTTTGTAACTTTAGAATACTGAGTTTAAACGTAATCATTTTTCCCTTGAACTGCATTATGTAAAGCAAGGCACTCACAATTGAATTTAGACTGAATAATTTCGTATTTGTATTTCCACCCCCACTCCCCCACCCCATGTAATGCGGGGGGATATAGCCGACGCCTCGTCCGTCAGTCCGTCCGTCCGTAATAATTTTGTTTCCGGAGCATAACTCAAAAACCGTTCAATATTTTTCAACATGAATTGGTGTACATGTATATATCAAACAGAACCTAAAGTGGTGCCTTTTGGTACTTACAGGTTTTGGTCATTTTCATTTTTCCCGGTTTCCATGGAAACGATTCAGACTTAGTCTCAAAAGGGAGGGGTGGGCTTCGTTTCCGGAGCACAACTCGAAAACTGCTCTATATCTTTCAGTAAAATTTTGCAGATATATGAGGCAGATCCAAAAGTGGTGCCTTTTACTATTTACAGATTTTCTGTATTTCTATTTTTCTCGGTTTCTATGGAAACGTTTTGGACTTAGTCTCAAAAGGGAAGGGTGGGCATCGTTTCCGGAGCACACCTCGAAAACCGTCATCGAAGGTTTGTCATCTTCTGATGACTCTTGTTTGTGAAGTTTAGAGTGAGTGAGTGAGTGAGTTGGGTTTTACGCCGCTTTTTGCAATATTCCAGCAATATCACGGCGGGGACACCAGAAATGGGCTTCACACATTGTGTCAATGTGGAGAATCGACCCCGGGTCTTCGGCGTGACGAGCGAACGCTTTAAACACTAGGCTATCCCACCGCCCCTGTGTGTGAAGTTTAGAAGCAAATGTGTGAAATATGAATTGTTCATAAAAAAATATATGATCGTAATGTTGAATCTATTCGAAGAGACAGCTTTCAGTAAGGCCATCTTCAATACCAAATATTTCACGTATATTATTCGAACTATTTTCCCTTGAATATGCGAACTGTCCAAAATAGATAAGCAAAATATAAACGTGTCATAGATTATTACTGTTAAAAAATCAAATGAAATAGCATAAAGACCTTTCTGTGATATATATACCCGTACGTATTTACGCTGAAATAACTTGTTAACTACGATGCTGAAATAAACAAAATATCTTCTATTGCAATGAATAGCTTATTGTTAATTACCCAAATGTTTTCCTAAATACCTATCTTTATGGGTCCCACCTAGTATCTCCAGCATAACAGGATACAACCTTCGTAAATCCAATGAGTTTCAGACAAATGCAGGGCGCTTATCCCAGTATAACCGATCGTTCCTGCCTTCTGTTGTTAAAGCATGGAATGCACTTGATATCAATACTAGAAATGTAGATTCCCTATCTAGGTTTCAACAATTCATTTCCACAGACACATTCCACATTCAGATTTCTTCAAATGTTACATACATTGCTAGTTATTGCCAGCGTCAATACCAAGTGATCCTATCCAGAATTAGGATAGGTTGTAGTGATATAAAAGCACACTTATTTGACAGATTCCTGGTTGATGATCCCACTTGTTCATGTGGCCATAACAGAGAAGAAGGTGTAATACATTTTTTTCTGTCATGTGCCTGCTATGCCCAGTTTAGACTTGACAGATACTTTGTCCTTAACCACCTCAGCATATATACTATACTTCACGGCAATGACAATTCATCTCCTTTAGACAATGAAAACCTTATAAAATCGGTTCAGAATTACATAACTGAAACTAACCGCTTTACGGAATTCAAGTAACAACCTATAAACATAAAATGCACTTGGTATCGTGTTCTTTATTTTCTTTATTTTATTTTGTTTTGATTCATTCATTAATGTCCTAATGTCTGCTCCATAGAATTGTGTCAAGAACTAACGAACTATATGCGGAGAAGCATTGACATAGGCCATATGGCCTGTTCGCTAATCCTATTTCCATTTTGTTATGTCGTGTAATATGAAACATGTAAACATTAATGGAAATAAAATATTGTTTATATCATAAATCCAATGTTTTGAATGATAGTGTTGTTACACATGTACCTGTTAGGGTGCTGTCTTCATTCTACAGCAGCTGCATCAACTCTGTCTTACTGTACACAGGTCATCTTATACTCAAGGAGTTCACTGTTGTGGGCAAGGATTGCTTCTCGGAGGACGAGGATGTTCCACACCTCCATGTACTGAGGCCCCAGTGCGACACGGACCCGCTGACTGTGACGGTCGAGTACAGTGACGGCACCGCCAGGGACGGCAGCGACTACACATCAAACATCAGGAGTCTGCAGTTCGCTGAAAGGGAGAAACAGTCAACACTGGACATATCGATATTAAAAGATAAGGTACAGGACTGAGACAGTGTTCGGAGCAACGTTCAAGACTCACTCACTCATGCTGAAATATGACAATATTAGATAAAAGGATTGTAACATTTGGCTGGGACATGATAACTTGACAAGAAACCATTGTAATTGGGCATGTGTGACTACTTTGAACTCGATAAATTTAGTGTTAGACACTATATCTCTAAGCCTAGACAGGATTAATCTTAGTTTGGACATGGTAAGTCCAAGCTTGGACAGGTATCTTATGTGTTGCTCCTATAGCCTTACTCTTCATCGATACAGGCTTCCCCCCTAACAGCAATGTATGACTATTTCGCAATTTCTAGATTTTGGAATCCAGGGAAGACTTCTCTATCACACTTCATGCGGATGGATATAAGAATGAAACTATACGGATCTGCATCAAAGATGATGGTGAGTGTTTGCTGTATCCTTCCTCACGTCAGTGGGCGGTGAGGAGCACTGATCTAGTAGCGTTGCACGACACTACTAAATGGTGCTAGGGACAAGTGAAACTCCAACACTGGCAGTCCTCAATAGTGGTAATTGAGGTAAAAAATCTGAACTGTTTCTCTAAGCGTCACTTCTACTGCTAATCAGAGCCAACTATAACCAACAGAAAATGTAAACATAGTATATTTTTGTTTCCTGTTCTCGAACAATTACCTACCAACTGATGAAATAATGTTTTTCATTGTCTCCTTGACATGTCATAAATAAAGGTTTCCGAGGCTGTAATATAAAGGGGTAATAAAAAGGATACCTTTTCAATACAACAGCGACAAAATGCACGCACGCTACGTCACTTACGTCAAAACCATTATCGGCATATTCATTTGAGCTGGCTCGTAAATCCACTCGTCCAAGATACATGGTGTATTCAACTATAGTTTACAGATTGACGTTTGTTTTGTTTTGCAGATAATCCTTTGGAGTTCACCATATATGGAGCTATCTATGTCCCGGAGTGTCTTGGTGCTATACGTCTTCACGTCTACAGATCCCAGCATGACAGAGGACCACGGAATGTGACGGTGCTGTATCTGGACGCAAGTGCCAAGTCTGGAAGCGATTACCTGACCACTGCGCGTACTCTTGAGTTTTATGAAAAGGAAAAATATGTAATTCTGGAAATTCCGATTGTTGAGGATCTGGTGCGTGCAAGTATAAATATACAATTTAGTTCCATCATTATATTTATGTAACATTCTTATGTTTAATGTATCCCTGGAAGAACTCAGGAGATAACAAATATACTGTAAATGTGTTTTCACATGCAAAGTGTTTATATTTTCAGAGGATTGAGTCCAAGGAAACGTTCTTGGTGACACTGTCAGCTGAGCACTATGCAAACACAACTATTCACATCTGTATAGAAGACGACGACGGTGATGATATACTCATCAGCAAAATAAACCAAAATTATGTTTAACTGTCAGACAGTAGGGTTTGTATGGCATAATATCTTTGGATACATTCTATATATAATGGTGATGTCAACAATCTACAATGCCAGTGTTGAGTGACACCATAATCTGAATATAACTAAACGAACATTTATTGCGGTAAGTCAAATTTGAAGAGGGGGGCGGCATTCAACGGGTATAAATATAGTTTTGTGAATACTGTGAGCAGATGGGTGGACATGTCGTCTAAAGGTCTGGAAGCATGCCTTGGTCAAGTCCCTAATTGGCTTTGATTTTTTTCCTTCCGCCAAACATGTGCTCGTAGATTTCCCGGAAGTGGTAAACGTCTTAGACAACCGCTTTCATCCCACCTCCCGATACAGGTGGCAGACACCCACTCAACGCGGCGCTAACTAACTCGTTGTTGTCTGTCATCTAGCTCCTGTGGACTTCGACTGCAACAGGTACGGCGTGAACTGTGCTGCCGGAACAACGTGCCCACCCAACGGCAAAACGTGTGATTGTTCGGGTGTTTCCGGCAGAATCGGCCCTGACTGCAGCATCATAGCAGGTGAGAGGGCCATCCCCTGGGTTAGCATCATGGTCATCGGAAATGTTTATAGGGTCGAAAACTAGCAAAGTATTTCCTCAAAATGAATGTGTTCATCTACAAAGCAGAGACGGACGACAAACTAATATACTAAATACTAAATGAAAACGCCCATGGTGACTAGCCGATCCACGTTAACGTCTTCTATCACGACAGCCTTGGATACGTTCACGTCAAGTATTATGACAGACTTGTTTTGGTACCGTTTAGAATACCGTCAGTGTTGTCGTCATCATTATCATAGCTGTATCGACAATCATTGGATGGATTAACAAACATTGTATGTTGTTCAGCAAACTTCTGTACATATGAAGGCAATTATGAATTGCTATATCATTATCCATTGCTTTAAACTCTTCCAATAGGCAACACGTAAACGTATCTCTAAGGCTTTGATAGATACATCTGAATGTTCTAACTACCGCACACGCTTCTCTATACTGTTCTGATCATCTGTACACTTGTTTCTGTCAGAGTTAGATTTGACAGAACATGAGGCAGGAACGTGGTCTGATTCTGTAAGTGTGTGTACCATTAAGACAAGAAAGAAATCAAATAATTCTGATGGAGGTAAAAAATAATCAACAAGGACCATTATTTGCAAAACAAGGAAAACTGCCACATGGACCATCAGAAAAACGACAGTTTAACCTGTGTTGCATGTGTACCATATAAGTGTATCAAATCTTTAACAAAGTCTTTCTGGGCATATTCAACATGTCGTCTGGTTTCTGAGTATATTCATTCTATCAATGGTATGTTAATATAATTATCACTTTCATCATCATCACCATCATAATCATGTAATATATATTCTGTCACTGTGCCTGTTCGCATCAGACAAATACCTTTAACATCACTGAATTCTGTCAGGAATGAAATACGACACGATTCAATGTAATCAGTCCTGCATAAGTATACAGGAGATAGAAGAAACACACCAAGCCAGGCGTGCAGAGATGGACCAGATATACGGCTGATAACAAAGTAGTGTAATCAGAAGATTCCGTCGTGCGTAAAGATTGGAATCACGACACATTGAGAAGGAGAGGAAAGTGTGCAATTGAGGATATATAAGTGCCTTCATTGTTAGCATGATCGCTAACATAAACATCCTTTAGAGAACCGAGAATGGATGCTGAGAAGGTCACATCTACTGTGCATAATACGACTCTCACAGTAGGTTGTTTTTTTAAAATATGTGAGATACGTAGGAAGCCCTCGCCAAGTACCGTCATGTCATTAGTGGGAACCGCATGACGGGTAACGAGCACAAATTCGTGAGAGTTGGATAATGAGATATTTTACCTCACATGACCTATAATATGGACTGAGCACAGTTATTATTTTCCGATGGTGTCAATAAGGAATTAGTAACTTTGTGTAAAGTTTAGAATGAATTATACGGAGAATATTAGTAAATGGCACTCAACCGACACTGAAACGCAAGACTTGAAAATTAAATAACTTAAAAACAGAACTCTCTATTCTTGATACATGTATAAAGTAGAGGTGATCATCACAAAATAAAGGGGATATTTCATTTTGGGGCGAAAGTATTTGGGAACCAAGTTGTATGATTGTATATGGACTTAGAATATCATTATTCCATTCACAGCGTGTTATGATTTTGTGCAAAAAATGCCATTCTCGCCAGAGCGTTTCCATAATGTGCACGTGGTCGGGTCGGGATAAAATATATATGTACAGTCCCTCTTATCTTTCGTGAAGATTGAGGATTACAGTTCCGACCCACATTTAAATTCGGGTAGCGGTGGGGTAGCCAAGTCGTTAAAGCGTCCGTTCGTCGCGCTGAAGACCCGGGTTCGAGTCCCGACATGGGCACAATGAGTGAAGTCCATTTCTGGTGTACCCCGACGTGATATTGCTGGAATATTGATAAGAGCGTCGTAGAATCATCTTCACTCACTACATTAAATTCAGAGGAACTTTCGCTTCAATGAACAGGTTTAGCATGGAATATGCTCTTTTTTCAGATGACGTCAACGGGACTGGCTGCCAAGACGTGGACTGTGGGAGTGGTGGTCAGTGTGTGTCCGTTAACGACACCGGGCAGTGCCACTGTTATCCCGCCTTCTACAGCGCTGGAGACAAGGCCTGCCAGATGAAACGTAGTAGGTTGACAAAGATGTAATAATATATTCTACTGATAAATACATAATTCTCAATCTGTCACAATACCGCAAATTGTAAAAATATAAGTATTTTATAAAAATAAGTATCAATGTGTGCTACCGCAGATAACACTTTCTCAACAGTTCGAACACCAGTTTTTGGTTTGTCCACTCCAAACCCCTATTGGTTGATCAAGATGGCAACGTCTAAAACCTTTGATCATCCACACACCTTAGCCGTCACGTGACATAACTCCAGTGCTGTTTCACAGCGTTAAACCCACCTACTCACTCACTCTGTCTCAACATCATCTCCCGGCAGCCATCATAACGTCATGTGACACCAGCAAGATGACAGTCTGCATGAACCCAATCAACGTATACCAGCCTCTCATCACCGTCTCTGGCTACACCTCGACTCAGTGCACGGCCAGGCCAGTTCCCCACCCCGATGACCCCACAGACAGGATCCCAGCAGGGGTCAAGGGTCAGTGTATAACAGTGGAGTTTGAGGGGAACTGCGGGAGATACCCCTCTGTGCAACGGGTACGTATTCTGCTTCCAGGAGTACTCGCTGAGTTCATACGAGCTGCGTGACTGGTCTCATGATCCACTACGTACCGCAGAGTGAGTCAGATGACTTAGCATCACTTTGCACAGGATATGTCCCTTGTCCCAGCACAATGTGGTGACAGAATCAGACATGTACCATTCTGATGTCAGCTATGATCTTGGGGCGGGGGAATTATAACTATTAGTACTACTCAGTCACGACAGTCTGTTTGACCTGTCAAGTCATTCACAGATGTAACTAGCCACCAGTTGTGCGTCACCACGCCTGGTCATCCGAGCCATTTTGTCACCTCATCCCTTACGTTTAGATTACAGTGGATCTCTTCTAACCCGGAATCCCAGCGAGTGCTGAAAGTTTAGTAGCCATGTCGTCCCGACTCACTCACGGAATACTTCCATCATTCTTTGCAGGAGAATGACTCATGTCACACAGTGTTGTACCGTATACAATACAATCCAATCCTGCTCGCTGCTTCCGACGAAATCATATTTGCGAAGTGTTGCCTTTCTCCAAATGGCACCGTGTCATTATCATCTGTGTATGCAGACGTGTCTCAGTAAGTACAAAACTAACAATACTATCGGCAATGTTCTGTTTGTCTCCAGATATTGTTAGGTACAGAGTGTTCATTGCCATGTATCGTACTGGCATTCAATAGCTTTTGGGATATATTTTGCAATGCATCGTTCCCTTCTGTAGTTGTTTCGTGATTTGACCTTTCACCCTAGTAAATACACAGTATGAGATATAATCTATATAGCTATCTTTGGCGTGTGTATAGTCTATTCACACAGGTCCTGTTCAATAAACTTGTAGAAGTTTAAATCTTACTTTTAGTCGTAGACAGACAGTAAAGTGTCAGATTCTTTATCTACAGGCAGTACTTCAACAAACAGTTTGAGGAGAAGTTTTATAAAGCCAAGCTGACTCTCACTCTGGCAAACGATCTTCCCGTTGTTGGACCGATACCTCTGAATCAAGTATACAGACTGTGTCTCGAGACAACAGCTGGGGGTATATACACATGTCCATATATATATACACACATCATAGCACATTGACAAGGTAGACAGACACATAAGTGTCAATAAAACAGACATTGAGTTTTGTCTGTGACAGAGGCATATCTACATCACATGTTAGAAATTCTGACAATGCTAAATAATGACGTTGGTGTTAAGTACCGAACTGAGAAAGTGACTCGGTAAGAATGTGTGGTGTAATGGTCAAATGAAATTATATAAACAGTTAAATCGGTAATCTCCTGTCATAACATATGAAAAGTTTGCGACTGTGAAATATCAACAAAACATTAGAAAAATAGTTCACATCAAAGCCTACTCCGAGTACTCACCGCCACCGAAGTTTTTCCGTCTTGAAATGTCGAACGGTTCGGTTCTTTTATGTAACGAGTAGATTATTTACTATATGTTGTTTGATAAGATACGACCACTCCTGCTCACGACTTTATAATTCGGACATCACGCTTCCAAGCTGCGCGAACCCATTCACTGCGCATGCACCATGATCGCAGTGCAGCGCAGCACAGCTGTTGAAACCACTTTTCACCCCAGCTGGGGTGAATTTAGTGAATCGTTTGAACTCCGATTTCGCGGGGTTTTTTTCATCGCGTTATTTTGCAACTTTATAAGTTGAATTTGCATTTTTGATCATTTTTACTGTAAGTCCATACCAAAAGGTATCAGAATCTGCAAAGTTGTGTTTTACGTTGCATGTGACCTTTAAGATAGTTGGTAAATTCTTTAACGCCACAATATAACCGATCTATTTGCTCTCGATATTTGAACATGGTTATAACATTCAAGGCCTTCAAAACATCTTCTGGAAGATGTGGAGAAAGTTTCTGAACTTGACGCACATTTTGCCTGTGCTGTTGTTGGTGATGGTAGTTGGTAGGATAGGCCTACCAGGTAACAGCGCTGAATCATAGTGATTCTTGAACACATGATTAGGACAAAGTCGGAATGGTACGATGGACTCGTATGATTGTTTGCATTATTAGAACCGAGCCACGTCACTTGTTAGCTGCAGGGTTTAAAGGAAGATCGACTGATTATTGTCTGATTGTAAGTAACTGAACATAGTTGGAAGGGGCACCGTTATGTAGTACACTGTCTATGTCTGTACACAGTAGTGGAAAAGTGAATAAGTACAAAAACTATGTACACGTTTACTCGTTGTCGATGTATAGGATTTTCAATGCACATACACCCCTAGATATAAACTTACTCTTGTCAATCCAGGGTTTGCCTATCTTGGTTTGGTGGGTGTACTCGGGCATAACGGCGCATCCGGTGCTTCGCGGAAGGTAGCTGTAACTTACGGCAGTGATGGGTAAGAGATACATGTATTTATAAATGTGGGTGAGTGAGTGAGGCAAACTAAGCAGCAGTTTCAGTGAAGCTTGGTGAGTATGGTGGATGCATTACGTACATCCCCAAAGCTACAGTAAAATATCCAAATTAGTTTTTGCCAAGTGTAGAATTTCTATGGCCAACCCCTCTACGTTTTCATATTAGAGGTATTGATATATGGAAAGAAAGAATAGAAAATAAATAAAAGTCCTTCATTCTTCCTCAAACTGTTTTCCTGCCAAACGTGAGGGACAACATGGTTCAGTGGTACACACGATGTCGTGATTGTAGGTGCGCTTCGGACGCGACACCAGCTGCCAACGAATGATTGGGGTTTAGGTGCTCTTTGATTAAAATCATCAGACACGGTAATGTAAGTGAGCCGGGTTTTACATGGCCTTTAGATATGGCATAGGAATATCACGACAAGAGAGACAAGAAATGAACTTCACACAATGTGCGAAATACTGAGAGAACTCACCAACCCATATGCATATAGAACAAGAGACATGTCGGGATGGCTCTGTCTGCCAGAAGGAATGTTTCATGATTACACAATGTCATTTAGAATGGCGGTGGCTGAGCGGGTTAGGCAGCTGACTTTGTGTGCTGGCGATATGGTGCCTGACTCTGGGGGTGTGGGTTCTAGAATTTGTTCTTTCCAAGGAAAGTGTAATCCCAAATATAACATATGTTTCATATATGTTTCAGAATGAACCTATATAGCACATGCCACTTATTGTTAAATATACATAGGGCAAAATATATTGTCAAAATATTGTCAAAGAATAACCAGTCTCAATCATTCGCCGAAAACTCTGACAACTATCACCATAGACGACTGTAAATTAGTGATGACGCCAGGTATTATCCTAAATGATAGCCTACCGGGTTCTGCCATGCGACAGCAGTCTTTGGAAATTCTAGACATTAAACGTCTGGCATTGAAAAAAACACTTTCTGCCGTCTTCATCGGAATTATGATCTATCAGATAAAGGTGACTATTTGCTCCACAATATGCCTCAAGAACAATGTGTAAACATAAATATACAAAGACAGGAACTTTATCATGAAATCTAATCACCGATGCTGTGATACGAATGATTTCCTTGTCGAAAGCTGAATAGCCGCTGTTCCTTGACAAAGACAAGATTATCGGCACTATGTTTCCACTATATATGTGACAATTATGTCTGTGATCACGCTAATATCTCTGAGATATAAGAAACTGAGATTTACGATTGAAGATAGTTTTTCAGATTTGAATACAATCTTCTTTATCTCTACCGGATCATCTTCCCTATCTGTGATTCTAGACGGCCTGTGGTATTTTCCAGAAACAGTTAGGTCTAAAGATATTAGAAACGTTATATTTGCATGTTTCATCTTGTCAAGCGTTCTTTGAGGTTTCGACAACAGAATGAAAGAATTACATTATTGAAATGTCTATCACACTAAAGCTCTCAGAATACTGAGTGTTTATTACAATAAAGGAAATGTACCCTGATACCAAAATTGCAGCGGCCACAAACGACAAAATATTCCACTGCCGTCACCTTACCATTGTTTACTTTTTGTGTGCTGTTTACCATTTTTCGCAAGCTAAATATGAACGCTGTAGGATACATTACGATGTTACAACTGTCAAATCTTGGATAAAGTATACAAACCCGTAACACGAAGAGCCCACCCATAACTAAACAACATTCGTATATATGTTCGAAACATGATCCAAATTCCTCTTTGATTCCTGAAAGCGTTTATTTCTCGTTAATCTTCATTTCAGAAACATTTCTTCTTAACTCGTATTTAATTTCAACAAGATCACTTTCACGGCGCCTTGTTGTTGAAATGGATGCATGTTCTTATCCGAACTCTTCAGCTGTCCAGACGAATCTGGCAAGTCTCTGGTCCACGTGTTGCCATGGAGAGAGACCGACACGAAGATCTGCATGGACTTCAAGCCTGGTTACTTCACCCCGGGGCCGTCGTCCATGATATACGACATCACCTACAAACTGTGCCTCGCTGACAGAAAGGAAGACTGCAATCTGGTACGTTTGGAAAGTACACCTACATAAAATATATGTCTTCAGACTGTGATCTTAGGTGTGACAACACACATACTCTCAGGTTGAGAGCTGACTAAGCGTTGATACCACCGACCGGACATTGAGACACAGTTAGTCCAGAGCTCATGTATTGATGGCAACACACGGACATGTCTCCACTTAACGTTAACAGTATGTAATGTGTGAATCACATGCATAATAGATACGGGACAGGAATGAAAACGTATCTTGATGGAGAAACGGGTGAGACGTGACAATGAACGGGACTGTAAACGTATCTTGATGGTGAAACGGATGAGACGTGACAATGAACGGGAATGTAAACGTATCTTGATGGTGAAACGGGACGGGAATGTTAACGCAATATGATGGTGAAACTGGTGAGATGTGACAGGACTGCCAACCTATCATTCTATTAGAACGTTGAAGTATACGGTGTCGAAATGACAATTAATGCACCAAATTATCATCAGTATTAAACATACTGCCCTATCCGTAGCATACCCGTTCATATGTTCGTATGTGTTCGTTGCTTGACGCGGCATAGCAGTACTTCTGTCAGTACTTTACAGGAACCAGACAATAAATGTTTGGCATTGAAGTTCCACTTTCTGCCGTCTTCATGGTCTGACTCAGTAATCAGATAAAGACCACTGCCTTTACAACAATTACTCTTGACTAAGACTAACAGAGGATAAGGTACACGGGTACGGTCAGGTGGTCAGTTGATGGTAGTGACATGTGACATTGCGTCTTTCAACTGTTGAAGATCCCGTGCGGCACTACGACCAGACGACGACGCCAGGCTCTCGACGGAAGCGTACAGAAGAAGACATCAGCTGTTGTGTATTTCCTCAAAGAATCCACAGATGAGGCAGCAGGTATTCTCTAGCTTCTGCTTCCGGTAATAATGTGTGCTTCTACAAGTGGTGCTACTTATAAGAGATCCATTCTACTCATTTACAGTATCAGACTTTAAATTGCAGGTATTCCTGGAGCCTTGATGGAGGTTCCTTCCCAAACAATCAAAAGATTTTGAACTGGCTCATTCTGCAGCCTATAATGTCCCAAACTTACTGTATGGGTTTAATATCTGAAATCCTGGTGGACCAACGTAGTGTCGCTATCGCCTCTTGATGTAAGAAAACAACAATGCACGTGCACGATGTTGCCGAACGTTGTCATCCATGGAGACTGGTTTTGAGGATGTTCATCGAAATGCGGGACAACAACCCTGTCTAGGATGTCCGTGATGTACCGCTGTCCATTTAGATCTCGTTTGATCGTCAAAAGGACAAGTGTACAGTCGTGTAAGAGGCACCACTGCCCCATCAATAATCCCGAGCGGAACGGTCCTTGCTCCAAGATATTCCAGTGTGGATATGCAGTGTTTCTGCGCCGCTAAACACGAGCTCGGCAATAAGTCAATAACAAAAGAAATCGACTTTGGTCCGACCAGCCGACCCTTCCCCATGACGTTAAGTTTCAGTCACGTCGAGCTTGACACCAAGCTAGTCTTACTGCTTTCATGCTCTGGGGAAACCAACGGACGTCTGAGAGGTCGTCTGCCTCTAACCCGGCCGATTGTAGGCGATTTCGGACCGTTCTGTGGTACAAACAGCAACGTGAAAGCCACTTTTTTTTTCGTAACGCCACTTGACATGAACGAGTGATGTCTTATGATTCTGAGGATTGTTACCTCCCGAAGCGTTGCCACTTGTCCTCTACCTGAACGCTGACAGTCTTAATGTCCTGGGTGCCGTTCCACTAACCGATCTTAGCCCTATGCCAATCGTAAACCCCTAAAATCCCAATCTTAGCGTGACGTTACGATCGGCACACCGTTCCACTAACCAATCTTACCTAAGTCAATCGTAAAGTTAAGATTCAAAGTCTAAGTTGCTCATGACCAACTTAGGATAGCTAAAATCAATCGTAGAGAAACCAAAATGGTGACTTTCCTATTCTTTGTGAAAAATAAGAGCGAGCATTTCACCGTAAGCGTCCCCTAAAGTCCCCCCATGAAATGAATTTGTATATTTCTGTGATGTAAACAAACACTGCACTGAAGCCTTACAAATGTCAGGCCAGTCTGACCACTGTCGTCATGGGAACACAACCGAGCGAGTCGGTGTAACACATTTGTACAACAATATTGCAACGTCATGGTTAAGAATAGGGACAGCCGTGAAGTGAACAATGTTCTGAAGCAAAAAGATACAAATATGTTTGATTTCACTGCGCATATTTGGTGGGGGATTCTAAAGGCAGGCCGCGTGTTATTCAAGACCACTGACAGATTCTACATACGTTATAGCCTCGTCACGCCTTGTTTATTCTGATTGACAATGTTCAGGCACATATTAAAAGCTCTGACACAATTGACATTTTTAAAGTCCAGACTTAAAACCTGTTCTCAGTATATTACTTATAATCTCGGCTGTAAATATTCTCGTGTAAATTATCTGTACACAGCGCTTTGAGCATGCCCAAGGATGTGGAATAGGCGCACTATAAATATGCATTTATTAATATTATATTATGCTTGATACCCAGCGTTCTCACGCACTTGCACCTGAAACCAAGGTGCTCACTACCCTAATATTTTGCTCTAGGTTTTTTCTCCACGTTTACACTTGGTTGGAAAAATACCCATGAAGGCCCGGGTTAGAATATTGAACTTCAATAACCCGTGCCTGTGGTAAGAGGCCACTAACGGGATCGGGTGGTCAGGCTCGCTGACTTGGTTGACACATGTCATCGGTTCCCAACTGCGCAGATTGATGCGCATGCTGTTGATCACTGGATTGTCTGGTTTAGACTCGATTATTTATAGCTAAGATACATAGCGTTCACTAACATGAACGCTCATGCTAGTGAACGCTATGCATCATAGCTAGATTATTTACAGACCGCCGCCATATAGCTGGACTATTGCTGAGGGAAGCGTAAATCTAAACTTACTCACTCACTCAGTTGGTTCGTAAACTACTCGTAGTACTCGTAGTACTTCCATCATTTGCTAGACTATGCAAAGGGAGATAACTCGTGCCTCGCATTCCTCTATCTCTCGCACGAAAGAGTCTCGATCTAAGCTTGGATCGGATCGTAAGATCGGGACCGGCTACGATCGGCCTAAGATCGGTTAGTGGAACGGGTGTAACTTTTAGCTAAGACGATTGTAAAATTGGCGTAACTTTCTAAGATTGATCTTAGTTAAGATCGGTTAGTGGAACGGCACCCTGGTCAATCGGCTGACACTCGATGGATGATAACCAACATCTCTTGTGATGTATCCCACGTGATGCTCGACTTTGATCGTATAGCATCTGAAATCATGGTGCGACTGACTGGTCAAAATAAGTATACGAACATAAATATGATATGATTATCCATTAATATATGGGGGTTCAAAATCATAGATGTTGCGATACGTATTTCTTTGTGCAATGTGACTGTACACCTTGACCCGTGAAGATCCGGGTTAGAATTGGTCTTCAGCAACCCATGCGTGTTGTAAGAGGCGACTAACGGGATCGGATGTTCAGGCTCGCTGACTTGGTTGACACATGTCATCGTATCCTAACTGCGTATATCGATGCTCATGTTGTTGATCACCGGATTGTCTGGTCCAGACTCGATTATTTACAGACTGCCGTCATATAGCTGGAATATTGCTGAGTGCGGCGTAAAACTAAACCCACTCACTCCCTGTACACCTTGAAGAGCCGCATCAGGCAGCTTGGATTGTATTCTTCGTGGGAACTGTACAGAGATCCGTTGACCGAGAAAAAAATATTAAAGTGTCGTCCTGAGCATAATTGAGCATAATAGGCGTACTTATCATGGCATTATTATTTGCAGTTTTTAATGACTATTGCTTTCTCCATCGTTGTTGTCAGGTAGCGCCTCCGGCAACCGTATCGGTTGTGAATGCACTCGAGAGTCGTCCGTGATGTTCCCCGCCATCATCGGGGTCAGCATGGTCGCCCTGATGTTGCTCCTGGTCGTCTTCGCCATGTGTATCCGCAACACGAGGTTAACATAAGGTTAACATAAGGTTAACAAGAGGCTAACACGAGCCTAACACGGTCAGCAGCTACATCCTCAGGGGACAGTGAAATCACGTGACGGAAACACATCGTCAGTTGGTGCCATGATGAGTTCCCCAGGACGAAGATACAGATAGTGCATTGCTGACACAGCACAACCACGACATGTAACTACGACTACAACAATTAACAATAACTGTAACATTAGACACTAGACACTAGACACTAGACCTGCAGTAATACATGGAACACTTGTAAATACATGACCAAGTTTCACGTTTCTGAAAACACAGGACCAACATTAAACTGTATGTATCTGTAAACACCTGTATTAGTTTTAAATCATTGGTAATAGCTCGTGCAATAAATGAACTACTTCGAACGATTTGTTTTTATTCATTCACTCAGGAATAGGATCATTCGGGCGTTAACGGAAGCAGCCGGTGCACCGACTCTCTATCTCAATTAACGAAACAGCGACCACAGACATTATGCTTTACATGCACATGCCTTTTCAACATTTTTTTCTTCTAAATTACCTTCACGTCAGGTATAGAAACTCTGGACTGCAGTTATTTCGAAAGCCAACATAGCGTGCACGTCCGTGAAGAAAACTCAATACTTGTGTTTCGACTGCACATGACGTCACACCGTGATGCCAGGGAAATGACATCAGACGCCACATCCCCAGGTTTCAAAATAAAACTTGAAATAAACTGTGTCGACTTCTGTCGCCTTTCCATGCCGACAGCACACTCACAGCAAACAGCTCTACTGTTTGCAACCTTTCATGGTACATGTATATGCTATTTCAAATTGTCTACCTACTGAGATTGAGAATGGAGACGTTTCTACAAATATTCATTTCCCTGATGGTATGGCAGTCAAGTCTCCCGTTTCAATCAGAAATGTCTCACTGACCAATCAGAATCCAATATCTTATAAACTAATGGTGGAGTAAACTAAAATGAAAGCACGACTCTCGATCCCACGGGTACAGTTGAAAGTAATCTGTGGTAAACGTAAAACTGCGGCATGGGAGGGTTACACAGAGCATCCTGGGCTAATATTCGTCTCAATCTTCACAGAGTTATTTTAGTCTGAACCCCAGTGCAGATCATGCCTCCCAACGCGCACAATAACACAGTAACTGATAACTTTCTGTATTCTACAAAACATCTTTTGGGCGATCTCTTCGAAGGAAACAGTAGTGTTTAATGCAGCTCTTCTTTAAAGTGAGTGAGTAAGTTTAGTTTTACGCTGCTGCTCGCTGAGGAATTCCAGCTATATGACAGAGGTCTGTAAATAATCGAGTCTGGGCCAGACAATCCAGTGATCAACAGCATGAGTATCGATCTACACAGCTGGGATACGACAACATGTGTCAACCCTGTCAGCGAGCCTGGCCACCCGATCCCGTTAGTCGCCTCTTACGACAAGCATGGGTTGCTGAAGACCAATTATTCGAGTTCAGTTGTCTTTTTAATGTTCTATATTGATCTATTTTAGTGTCCCCATACCATTTCTAGTTTCCTCTTGTCGTCTCAGTGTTCATTTGTCTTCACTGGTCTTTAGAAGTGTTTCTCGGTTCTATCAAGCGTTCTGTAAACACCCCAGCTGTTCCCTACTCTACACTAGAGTGTGGTGACTGAACGTGAGAGTATAAGTGCGTGTTGTTTCGCCGTTTACCAATATTCCAGAGTACTGGTCCTATCATCTCCAAGAGTACACGAGTGTAAGCTAAGATAAGATAATGCTTTATTATCCCGAAGGAAATTTGCTTCACACGGTTAACATTGAAAACACATACAACACGACAAGAGATGCATAATAGATAAGACCACAAAAATACCCATAGATATGTCAAATATTACTGAAATAGCTAGCCACAGGGCCAAATACATGAGGCAAAGATAAATGATGAATAAATAATAATAATTCAGATTTAGAGCTATAGTGGCGACATTAAAAGTTTTGCTGAGGTACATTAGCACTAAAAGTATATTAATACAACAGTTTGAAACAATTGATAAAGTAATATAAAATGATTAACAAAGATTAAAATAATTCATTTAAAACATTGATCCCTGTATGAATAGGATTGATGCATTTATGAATAAACGTCAATAGTAGATGTACAAAACCAGTAACACCAGCACGAACTAGGAATTTTAAGAAAATGACATTAAGAAATAATCACCTTTATGATATGTACTGGTCCAACTGTAACAGTGTGTAAATAAAAGTGTTTCATTTTAATGTGTTAAACTTCATTATTTTAAAGCTTAGGTATAAAACTTTATCATTACTAAACTGGCCTGTGTTAACACTAACACTTGCATTGTTTAACTAGCTCACTGGTAAGCTAGCTTGGGGTCTATTGTTAAGGTTAAGTGATCTGTGTCAGGTTCAATCTCTGCATTGGCCTGTTGTCAAGGTTCCTATTGTTTCAAAGGTTTCAGCTTCTCATCATATTTAAAGCCTTCTACTGCCTTTCATTTGTGGCAGTATACATTTTCTCCTTGAGACTTGCAATACCTGCACAGCACCAGCACATTATGGGGTAAGTTAAGTTAGATCTTTTAGTATTACATGTATAGTAGGGCTATTAGGATTTAGTGCATTAGATTACATGTTTTAAGGAATAGTGTTTTATCATATTTAGTGTATGTAAGGTGTTTGTCTATAAATATATGCATGCTTAGTATTTTAGACAAATATATGATGTATTGTGTACCAGTACACTAGTATACTACCATGATACAGTAATGTGTATCATGCATGTTTATTATAAGGTTTAGTTTCTACATGCAATATTTATGTATGTATAGGGTAAATAACTATTTATGTGTACGCTAATGTCATTTATGATGTATATCTGTATATACTAGCAGTATACTTAGGCAATAGTTTGTTTATTTAGGTTCACTGAGAATCAGATGTTCATATTAGCTGTTGGCCTATTCTGCCTGCGTCCCTGAGACGAGGTGAGGTATTGTTTTCAGAATGTGATTGTAAATATTAGTAATTATAATTGTTATATATGTGAGTAATAATCAGAGTACATGTCTTTACTTAAATCTGGATGATTGACAGTCATCAGATGTATTAATAGTATAGTTGTAACCATATTGAATGCATAACATGATACGTATTTTATGACAAGAGACATGTATTAATTGATGGATATTTTATTATTCAGGGCGTTTTGTTATAGTTCTGCCAAATGGGGATCTCCTTATCCCACGTCACCAGCGCCGAATAAATCCCTGAAACCCGAAACAAGTGTTCGTCATCATTGAACCTACATACAGTGTACGTGTACGAATACCTCTGTTACACAACCACGATGCCTAGGAGGCACAATTGCCAACATATACATGGATGTTGACCGCATCACTGGTTACTGTCACTACACAGTTCACAGTGTGAGTGAGTTTGGTTTTAGGCCGCTTTTAGCAATATTCCAGCAATACCACGGTGGGGACACCAGAAATGGGCTTCACACATTGTCCCCCAAGTGGGGAATCAAACCCGGCTTTTGGTGTGACGGGCAAACACTTTAACCACCAGGCTACCCTACCGCCCCCATGTAAAACAGATGCGAATCTTCATGGGCATGACGATAAGGAACGTATTTTAGGATTACTGGGTATTTGCTAAACCCACCACAAACCCTTTTTCTGACAGACTCTTGTACACACCCACCCCACCCACCTCGATGTACAAGTGTGATCGCAACGCACGCGACCAGCGAGACAGATGTATAGGGCCTACATCTGAATTAAACCATTTTGCCACTCCGAATATGAAACACAACAAGTATGCTTATTCTGGACGAGGATTCAATGAACCATCTATTTTCTGTCAAATAATGTTCGAAAGACAATATTTTAGTAGTTTTGGGTTAACACAGTAGCCGAAATCTGAATCATCATACCCGTCGTCCGTATACTATGGTCTCCGGGCTGAGGGACAGATAATCCGTAATTTCCGAGTGATATATTTTTACAAACTAATATTGAAAATAACTAGAACAGGCTAGCCAATTAGGAGGTAAAATATAATGAAGCTAGGTGAAAATTTCTGAGAATGTTGGCTTGCCCATATAAGTCTACTTCTTGTTTCTCCATCATTGTCCCTTTCTTTGAAATATGAAAAAGGCTCTAGGGTTTCAGTGGATGATATTAATATCATGTGATGACTTGTATAACATAACATGATGATACGATGAATTAGTCCTTTAATTTGTGTTCTGAAGTTACTGCTTATATTTTGTTGTGGTTGGCCATGCAAGATTCGCACAGAGTTACTGTTCTTTAATAACGAAGGGATTTCCCCGGTAGATGGCAAGAACCTGTGACGCAAGGATAGGAATTCCCGATGTTGTGCAAGGAAACTGTCGCTACGCTCTCCCTAAATCTGCACATGATCGCCAGTTGCCATATGTACCCATACTGCAAATATTGGTAAGAATTCTTAACGAAGCATTTATGACACAAGTTTTAGAATGGATATATTTTGGACATCATACGATTTCAGACGGACAAGTTAACGTGATTACTGGCGCTATACCGGGGGTGTGGCGTTCCGCAGACATTGTGTAAACATCACTTCATTCAGATAGTGAATTGTGTTGAGACGAAGAATTTTATGAGTTATGTTTACTAGTGTCCATGTGGTTAGCAAAACAGTACATATAGGGAAGACGGAGGAATCACACGGGCAGATCCGTCACCAATTTAACCTCGGATACGTTGTTTCGTGATTGAATTTCCATATAGGCGACATTATGTTTCATCCATATATTTATACAAGGCACTACTTGCAGCATATAGCTTCAACTCATGTATACTCAACTGCAATACGTCCATTTGTTTCTTAATTTTTCAGACCTTATTATTTCCTTCAGCACAGGACACTGGATGACATGGACTTCATATTTGAAAGGTAGACAATATCCGCACTTTAATTCTAAAGTACATTAATTAAGACCCTTGAAAATAATGATAGAGTTTCATATAAATGCTTCAACAACGTGAGAGAGAACCATTTCATCTTTTCTGTTAAGAAAGACAATGAAGGTATGTCAGTGGCTATAACTGGGAAAAGCTTGTACACAGGACAGTGCTTACATGATAATGTATATGTTTTCAATAGACAAAGAAGTTAACACCTGTAATGCTGTACATTCAGCTGGGTGAGGTCACTACATTAGTACCTCTCACCCTCCTCCAACAATCATCCTACCATCCTACAGCAGTGTTCTGCCAAGAAACAGTGGGTACTTAGACCCCTAGAGCTGGCTGAAGCAATATCTTCACTGCAACATTTTAAAGTCAGAAAGAAATGCCAACATTACCGACTTGTTGTGTAGCAATGGAGTTCTATTTCCACTGTTATTGTGCTGTATATCACATGACTAAGCATGGGTCCAGGTAGTGCTGTTGGTATTACTGCCCTGGCCAGAACCCACCCAGTGCCAGAACACAAGTTACACATCTCAAGTGATTACATGTACCAACAGTACCAAAACTCCTTTCTTGTCTTTAAAATATGGCATATATTTCTTTTATATTTTTGTTGTATTTTCCACCTGACTGGAATAAGTTGTGCGTGTGTTTGTCAGTCCCCAGAAGAAGGATGTGGACACTGAAGCTCTGAAGCTGGCCACACAGTCTCTACAAAATCTTGAACAACTTCGACTGAAGGTGAAAAGTTCGCCAGTGCAATACAGTGATGGAGGTTTGTGGAAGAGATAGGCCAATTTCAAATCATCTTATTAGTGTATAAATTTGGCATGCGATTGACTTGAATCAAATTTCATTATTGTATATATAATTATAAATTTTCTCTCAAAGCTGGTAAATGTATTGTTGTTTTAACAACATTCTATTTCACATTTTAGACTCCTGCTAATCTCTCAGATTGTTTATATGGGTAAAGAGCATATTCACAAAATTTGCTTCTGGGAACTTTTACCTCAGATTAGGGGTGACTATTGAGGGGGAAACAACTATTTGCGATAGCAATCCATTGATAATCCGTACAATACATCGTGACATCCCTACCTGAGAGAGATGACAAATGTAGTGTGCTAATCTGGTTGGTGGAAAGGATGATGGAAGTTTGTTGATTGTATGGTAAACTGCAGCATGATTAGACAATTGTCATTTAATGCTATAATTTAATCGGGTGTCAGTTGACATGAAAGGCCATACGTTCTGACATGTGCTGGAGGAGCTGTACATGATGAATATATTTACATAAGAGTTCTAGGTAGTATTTTCCTGTGAACACAACACACCTGTTTCTAATGTGAGATATTTAAAATATATTTGATAGCAATATTCCCCTTCTAGTTTCTGTGAAGATCAGGTCAACTCTTGACGAGCTGCGTGACATCAAATCCGAGGTGGAGGGAAGCTGTGACAACTATGTGGCGATGTCCATCCACGAACATCCTCTACAGGACCTCCGACAGCTCACCTTGATGCATGTACCCAGCTCATTGACCTCAGAGGTCAAGGACAAATTCTGTGCTCTGTTGTCACAGGTGTTTGAAGGTAAAAATATATCATGTGCAAGACAACTAAGGAAGAAGTTTGGAATTGGAAAAGAATATTTGAAAGTTATTCTTTACATTATTACAAACTAACATAGTCACTAAAAGGACTTTTGTGAAAGTATCCAGCATCTGATGTGACCTGGCTGAAGTTCTGACTTGATCTCCTCCAGGGCGGGCCAAGAAGATGCTGTCAGCAGTGTTGTTGACGTGTCCGTGGTATGCAGCGTCACAGCGGGAGCGAGGGGAACAGGCTCGACACAACATCATCCTGGTGGTGTACCTGGGGCATGACGACCAGTTCTTCACACCGGCTAATCCACACAATCAGATAGAAGGGAAGGTCATCGACCTGGTGAGAAGCAGCAGCATATTATCTTGGATATTGAGATATATTTAAACACTCACAGGTCATGTGACTAGGAAAGGTTAGGAATCTGACCCTGTATTGTTGAGGAATTGAAGGGGATTTGGGATATATTTAAGTGGGCGCAATCCAAAACACATACAATATGATGGAGGTAGTGTGGTTTTAAATTGCTTTTAGCAATATTTCAGCAATATTATGCAAGGGTCAGTTCATTGTCTGGGATATTTACTGACTGTCACAGTTCATTGTCTGGGATATTTACTGACTGTCACAGTTCATTGTCTGGGATATTTACTGACTGTCACAGTTCATTGTCTGGGATATTTACTGACTGTCACAGTTCATTCTCAGTGACTTTGGCTGTCGTCAAATGTGTCTTAAAGACAGAGTTCAAATGTTGTAGATATAGAAGTAGGTCCTATCAAAAGTTGATAGGATTATGAAAATGGCCTAATTCTGTTTGGGTCTTGCAAATTCACAGCAAAGTATGTTCTTATTGTGGCATAATTTTACACTTGATGCCATTGAGGTGTCTCAGCAAAACAGTGTTGAATAACGCACTTGATGTAGCTTAGATGCTTCTAAACAAAACAAGTGTTGAATAACGCACTTGATGCAGCTTAGATGCTAAACAAAACAAGTGTTCAATATCCATGTAGCATGTTCAGGATGTGTTATATTTTTCAGGGCTGGTTACAGGGTGTGGAGTTATCTCACTTCGGCCACTTTATGGCCAAGGGTCGGACACGCTTTGTGGAGTCTGTGTTGAATGACCCACAGGCCGTGCTGTACGCCAGTCCAGAGTGGACGGCGCTGACCACTACACTACAGCACACACAGGTCATGGGTGAGTAGGCTCTACATCTTACACTCACATTTCTACTTAGCTCATCTTGCTTAAATCATGCTTCATCAGTGGGAGGCCACGGTACAATACCTCACATGGGTGTACAGTGTTATCCTTATTCTGGTGATATGTCAGAAGAATACTTTAGCCCAACACACTCACATATCCATCAATGCAATTTAGTGTTGACTATTTTGTTATTTTTTTACACTGGAATTGAATGCATTGTTGTAATTGTATGTAAAATATATGTAGAGGTGTGTCAAGAGTCCAGTATATGTACATGGATTGTGACAGGTTCCTGGGGATGTGTGCGTGCATGCATGTGGTTTTCTGTGGCAGGTTCCTGTGGATTTGTAAATGTGTACATTGGTGGTTTTCAGTAACAAGATCTTTGGGATTTGTGGAGGTGTGACAGAGACCAGTGTATACATATTGGTGGTTTGTGGCAGGTTGCCGGAGATTTGTGGAGGTGTGACAGAGACCAGTGTATACATATGGGTGGTTTGTGGCAGGTTGCCGGGGATTTGTGGAGGTGTGTCAGAGACCAGTGTATACATATGGGTGGTTTGTGGCAGGTTGTTGGGGATTTGTGGGTGTGTGACAGAGACCAGTGTATACATATGGGTGGTTTGTGGCAGGTTGCTGGGGATTTGTGGAGGTGTGACAGAGACCAGTGTATACATATTGGTGGTTTGTGGCAGGTTGCTGGGGATTTGTGGAGGTGTGACAGAGACCAGTGTATACATATTGGTGGTTTGTGGCAGGTTGCTGGGGATTTGTGGGTGTGTGACAGAGACCAGTGTATACATATTGATGGTTTGTGGCAGGTTGCTGGGGATTTGTGGAGGTGTGACAGAGACCAGTGTATACATATTGATGGTTTGTGGCAGGTTGCTGCAGGGATTTGTGGAGGTGTGACAGAGACCAGTGTATACATATGGGTGGTTTGTGGCAGGTTGCTGGGGATTTGTGGAGGTGTGACAGAGACCAGTGTATACATATTGATGGTTTGTGGCAGGTTGCTGGGGATTTGTGGAGGTGTGACAGAGACCAGTGTATACATATTGATGGTTTGTGGCAGGTTGCTGGGGATTTGTGGAGGTGTGACAGAGACCAGTGTATACATATGGGTGGTTTGTGGCAGGTTGCTGGGGATTTGTGGAGGTGTGACAGAGACCAGTGTATACATATTGATGGTTTGTGGCAGGTTGCTGGGGATTTGTGGGTGTGTGACGGAGACCAGTGTATACATATTGATGGTTTGTGGCAGGTTGCTGGGGATTTGTGGGTGTGTGACAGAGACCAGTGTATACATATGGGTGGTTTGTGGCAGGTTGCTGGGGATTTGTGGAGGTGTGACAGAGACCAGTGTATACATATTGATGGTTTGTGGCAGGTTGCTGGGGATTTGTGGAGGTGTGACAGAGACCAGTGTATACATATTGGTGGTTTGTGGCAGGTTGCTGGGGATTTGTGGGTGTGTGACAGAGACCAGTGTATACATATTGATGGTTTGTGGCAGGTTGCTGGGGATTTGTGGAGGTATGACAGAGACCAGTGTATACATATTGATGGTTTGTGGCAGGTTGCTGGGGATTTGTGGAGGTGTGACAGAGACCAGTGTATACATATGGGTGGTTTGTGGCAGGTTGCTGGGGATTTGTGGAGGTGTGACAGAGACCAGTGTATACATATGGGTGGTTTGTGGCAGGTTGCTGGGGATTTGTGGGTGTGTGACAGAGACCAGTGTATACATATGGGTGGTTTGTGGCAGGTTGCTGGGGATTTGTGGGTGTGTGACAGAGACCAGTGTATACATATGGGTGGTTTGTGGCAGGTTGCTGGGGATTTGTGGGTGTGTGTCAGAGACCAGTGTATACATATGGGTGGTTTGTGGCAGGTTGCTGGGGATTTGTGGGTGTGTGACAGAGACCAGTGTATACATATTGATGTTTTTTGGCAGGTTGCCGGGGATTTGTCGAAGCCTCTCGGGGGCAGGCGGTAGGTGGCATCAGCAAGAAGAAGAAGACGGGCGGCCTGAAGTTGAAGGACACAACCACCTTCTTCCAGCTGTGTGAGTCGTGCAGGTAAACACAGACAGCAATATCATTCTTCCACGCCCATATGCTCAAGACGGTCCAGGGCTCGTGGGGTAGCCTAGTGGTTATATTGTTCACTCATCACGACGAAGATCTGGGTTTGATTCTCCACATGGGTACAATGTGTGAAGCCCATTTCTGGTGTCCCCCGCTGTGATATTACTGGAATATTGCTAAAAGTGGTGTAAAAGTCAAGTCACTCACTTACTCAAGAGGCTCCATATCCACCCAGTTGGGAGTAACTGACACATTGTGTACTTTGTGCAGTCAAAGGTATAATTCATTACCTTATGAACATTGTGTTAAAACATACAGGACGGGAGCCTTGTCTGACACTGCGTTGCTGGCTGCTGTACTGTGCCGGGTTCACGAATAGTGTCGGGCCCTCGGACAAATCCGGCAGATTCACCGACGGTCCGATGGAAGTCTACAACCCCTCCCTCCCAAGTGTCCTATTATATATTTCATAATGACTTTGATTGAAGCTAATATATGTGACATGTCACACTTGTTTGCTGTTTATAAAGTTTACATTTGTTAATAATTTCAATGCCAGTTATAAGAAATGTTAAATCTGAAATGTGTGTTTTATTTTCATTCGATGGGTCCTGTGTATTTTCAGTGGGTCAGACAGACATCTGAAACTTACAGGGCCCTATGTCATGTTGCTTTGAAACACCATTTGTGAACACTGTGTTGTATAGACTCCTGCACCACCTTGAGAGGATCCTAGCCGGTCGGTCCGTCTGTCGTCAGGTGGAGGAGGAGGACTTGTCTGACATAGCCAGGAGAGCTCTGGACATCCTCAAGTCAATGTATCAGGTGAGTGATAATTTTTGGGTGGGAATTCTGTGGTACCTGTGTCATTTGAAAGAGAAATCCCTGCAGTATTTTCAGAACTGTGACAACTATGTTTGCAAACAGGTGAATGATCAATTTTGAATGGAGCATTCAGTTATTGAAACTGTTGGCCAACACCAGCTTCCAAGTCTATTTGTGCTACCCTGCCATGATATTGCTGGAATATTGTTAAAAGCGGCATAAAACTAAACTCACTCACTCACTATTCGTGCTGCATGCACAAGGTATGAGGACCTATTCTCACTCAGTGATATGCTAGTGTGAAGCCCATTCCTGGTGTCGTGATATTGCTGGACTATTGCTAAAAGCAGAATAAAACTAAACTCACTCACTCAGTGATATACTACGGTAATCCTGGTTAACAGAAATATATTGTAGTAGAGTTCAGGAGAAATGAATTCCTTCTTCATACAGTCTGGTTTGATGCAGTGTCAGTGTGAGTACCAAGAGGGTAACTGAAATCAGCTGAAATTTAACATTCTCTAATTTCCACCAAATGTTTCCCATGGGATTTGAACAATTCACACGTGAATATAGAAAACATGACCTATAACAAAAATAAAGTATGGGGCCTGTTGTGCAGAAAATGTACAACCTGTGCAACCAAGTTGATCTTGATTGACAAATCACAATATCAAATATTATTTCATCACCCAAGAATGCCCAATTTGCTGAACCATCTTTGTCTACACTGCAGTTAAGTAAGTTAATTTTCCAATTCCTCCCAAAGGATTGAGGTAGATATGATTTGAATGTTTGAATATTATGAATAGAAAAAAGGTTTGTATTTAGCAGTGTTTAAAACTCCCAAAATTCCAAGCCAGACAGCCAGACTGGTAACTTAACAAATTTACCAGCCCGGATACAAACTTGCTTGTTCAGTTTTCAACAATGAAATAAAAAAACAGGTTTCTGAATACTTTACTATTTGGGAGCATCGCAATGAACAACATAGCACATACAGGCAATGCACCAAATTTAGGTAAACTAAAAGTACATGTGTTGTGATTGGCTGTTGTAAAATGAACTGTCCAGTCGTAAATAGTTTAACATAATTATCATAATACCTTAAACACCTCAAATTGACAACAAGAGAACCTGTCTGATATTATGAAATGTTTACTGTTCGGGACAAAAACATCTACCAGACCACCGAACAGGCTACTTTTGAAATTTGACCGTCCGAGATGAAAATAGACCGTTGCGGACGGTCGGGCAGGCGGGAATTTTAAACACTGGTTGCAGTTGTCAGTAAACCATGGAGTGAAGAACATTCACTCCAAGACAACACTAATAAGCCCAGTAGTGCTGATGAAGTTTATCATATATGTGTTTTACAGGAAGGTGGGGGCACCAAACATGAGTTTTTCCCCATCCTCGTCAAATGGAAGGAGGAGATCGATCCTCAACTCAAGTCTTTCCAGTTTACAAAGGCAGCAGAATTGGAACAAATCATTGGGGGCTGGATGGCTGAGACTAGGCTACAGGGGAGACAACTCATTCCTCTCAAATGTAGGCACACACTATACTAACAGGCAGTGCCTGAAGTTAAGCATTGTTCTAGAGATAAACAAGTGATTCAGCTGTAGAGTGTTCAGGGTTTAAAACTTCAAAGAGTATTAGGTTACTCACTAACAGTATAGTGAAGCAAACCACAAATAATGAAAGTTTACTCAGTGGGAAGTATCAGGCCTTACCACTCAACTGTTTTCATACTTTGAAGATTGTTTTCCTGTACATGCATATGTGATTTGTGTCATGTGATCTAACTGACGTGACATGTCCAATGTATTTTTGACCAGTATGTTTGCTGCACAGGAATGCTGAAATATAGGCTATACTCTGGCACTACATACATACCATATATTAACTACATGGTTGATTGTGTAGCCGTATAAAAACTGTTTATATCTGATGTTTTCTCATTTACATGTCTCTATGTTAACTTCATATCATCATGATTATCAGTAAAATGAGTTCACTCATTAAGTCATGATCAATAACCAGGCAAAAACTAGCCCTGAAATATCTTAAGTGTCCTCCATTGGATGGGAGAGCTGTCCCCGTCTTACTTTCATCTGAATATCATGGGACATTACTCTGTTAGTTGAAGGGACTGCATGATACCCACTAAGAAATCACGGAGGGATTCAGGGCAGATTACTACACAGGTCCCCATGTTTGTTCCCTGTCCGATGGGGGCGGTGGGGTAGCCTAGTGGTTAAAGCGTTGACTCGTCACGCCGAAGACCCGGGTTCGATTCCCCACATGGGCACAATGTGTGAAGCCCATTTCTAGTGTCCCCTGCCCTGATATTGCTGGAATATATTTCTAAAAGTGGCGTAAAACTAAACTCAGTCAGTCAGTCCCTGTCTGATGATGTAGCCTGAAATGATGTGACACCTGTTTAATCCTGTTGGTGTTGATGAATGTGGCACCTGTGGATTCGTCTTACTGTGATTGAGGGGAAGTGATGTGTCACCTGTCTGACCATGTAAACCTAAAGTGTTATGTTACTCATTCCCAGCACTATTCACTATATCTCTCCCCAATGTGCAATGTTGTGAGAGAGTTGTCCTCTGTGCAGGTATTGAGGACCAGCACTCCAGTCTGGTAAAGTTGATGGACATGATCGGAGGACCAGTCAAAAGATGGAGCCGAGCCAGATACTCCTGGTGGCCCGGGCAGGAAGTTACATGTATGGGTTATCTACCCCTGACAGTGATGTCGACTACATGGTGGTGTATGCTGCACCAAACATGGTACGTTGGAGGTTTGCTTTCCTCAAGTGTTGTTTCTCGGATTAGGGGGACAGGCAGCCCTGTTGTGTGAGGCCCCATATCTCACTTTCATTGCTTTCATTATCATGCCAGAAGAATATGATCTTGTTGATTTGAAACCCTGTTCACCCAATTATGTTGCAATGTCTGTGAGCATTGTGCCCATGCTCATGAGACCACAAGCAAATTGTAGCACAAATAGGGTTGCGCTATAAAGAGAAAATGACCAGTCTTCCCATATCCGACGAGTGAAGCGAGCAAAGGTTGGCAACGTGCTTCCCTCGCTTTGGGTTCGAAAATATTTTTAATATCCAAATAAAATATCGACATCATCAAAGGTAGACACCCATGTCCTCACAGAGTTGTGCTCTCAGATTTCCAACCTCATATTTAATAATTACTCACATACAATATATTTAATTCAACATTTTAAGCACCACTCGTGGCATGTCAAATTCTTGTTCCTTCACTGCGTTGAACCGGAAGCTGGCAGGGGTAATGGAGGCGAAGAACGATTTGACATCTACAATTTGCGCTTAAAATGTTGAATTAAATATATTTTACGTGAGTAATTATTAAATATGAGGTTGGAAATCTGAGAGCACAACTCTGTGGGGCAATGGGTGTCACCTATGATGATGGCGATATTTTATTTTGATATTAAAAGTATTTTTCGAACCGAAGCGAGGGAAGCACGTTGCCAACCTTTGCTCGCTTCGATCGCATATGGGAAGACTGGTCATGTTCTCTTTGTTGCTCAACCCTATTTGCGCTACAATTTGCCTGTGATGAGACCAAATAGATCCGCCTATGATTTAATAACATTTCAGGACAAAAGGGAGGGGTGTGCACCCTTGCACCCCTCCTCTGGATCTGCCTATGACAAACAACGTAAGAAAAGTATTCAAAATAATTTGCTTTGTGAATTAAATTGTGTTTTCCAGAAAGTGTTATCAGCATGTATCCAACTGACGGAGAGTGTGGAGAACAGAGGGCCGCAGAAGCAGTTCGAGTACGGAGCATACGAGGCCCGGCTGTTCTGTGAGATGGTGATGAAAGCTAGTGTGGTTATTCTGGAGGTCAGTAGATGAAAGCTAATGAGGTTATTCTGGAGGTCATGAGATGAAAGCTAGTGTGGTTATTCTGGAGGTCAGTAGATGAAAGCTTGTGTGGTTATTCTGGAGGTCAGTATATGAAAGCTTGTGAGGTTATTCTGGAGGTCATGAGATGAAAGCTAGTGTGGTTATTCTGGAGGTCAGTAGATGAAAGCTTGTGTGGTTATTCTGGAGGTCAGTATATGAAAACGGGTGAGGTTATTCTGGAGGTCAGTAGATGGAAGCTTCTAGTGTGGTTATTCTGGAGGTCAGTAGAAGAAAGCTTGTGTGGTTATTCTGGAGGTCAGTAGAAGGAAGCTAGTGTGGTTATTCTGGAGGTCAGTAGAAGGAAGCTAGTGTGGTTATTCTGGAGGTCAGTAGATGGAGATAGTGTGGTTGTTCTAGAGGTCAGTGCTAGTTATTCTCTGGAGGTCTGTAGATGAAAGCTTGTGTGGTTATTCTGGAGGTCAGTAGATGGATGCAAGTGTGGTTATTCTGGAGGAAGCAGTAGACTCTGGAGGTCAGTAGATAGGAAGTGTGGTTAGTCTGGAGGTCAGTAGATGGAAGTCTGTAGTTATTCTGGAGGTCAGTAGATGGATGCTAGTGTGGTTATTCTGGAGGTCAGTAGATGGATGCTAGTGTGGTTATTCTGGAGGTTAGTAGATGGAAGCTAGTGTGGTTACTCTGGAGGTTAGTAGAAGGAAGCTAGTGTGGTTATTCTGGAGGTCAGTAGATGGATGCTTCTGTAGTTAGTGGTCAGTAGATGGAAGCTAGTGTGGTTATTCTGGAGGTCAGTAGATGGAAGCTTCTGTGGTTATTCTGGAGGTCAGTAGAAGGAAGCTAGTGTGGTTATTCTGGAGGTCAGTAGAAGGAAGCTAGTGTGGTTATTCTGGAGGTCAGTAGATGGAGATAGTGTGGTTGTTCTAGAGGTCAGTAGATGGATGCTAGTGTGGTTATTCTGGAGGTTAGTAGATGGAAGCTAGTGTGGTTACTCTGGAGGTCAGTAGAAGGAAGCTTGTGTGGTTAGTCTGGAGGTCAGTAGATGGAAGCTTCTGTGGTTATTCTGGAGGTCAGTAGATGGATGCTAGTGTGGTTATTCTGGAGGTCAGTAGATGGATGCTAGTGTGGTTATTCTGGAGGTTAGTAGATGGAAGCTAGTGTGGTTATTCTGGAGGTTAGTAGATGGGTTAGCTGGAGGTCAGTAGATGGAAGCTAGTGTGGTTGTTCTGGAGGTCAGTAGATGGATACTTCTGTAGTCAGTGGTCAGTAGATGGAAGCTAGTTTGGTTATTCTGGAGGTCAGTAGATGGAAGCTTGTGTGGTTATTCTGGAGGTCAGTAGATGGAAGATAGTGTGGTTGTTCTAGAGGTCAGTAGATGGAAGCTAGTGTGGTTATTCTGGAGGTCAGTAGATGAAAGCTTGTGTGGTTATTCTGGAGGTCAGTGGATGGAAGCTAGTGTGGTTGTTCTGGAGGTCAGTAGATGGAAGATAGTGTGGTTATTCTGGAGGTCAGTAGATGGAAGATAGTGTGGTTATTCTGGAGGTCTGTAGATGAAAGCTTGTGTGGTTATTCTGGAGGTCAGTGGATGGAAGCTAAGACACATGTCACCAGAATCCATGTGTGGACCCCTTTATGTACAAAATATAACACAATGCTACAATTTCAGTGTTTCAATGTCCTGCCTGTTCAACCACATGAATCAGTCTGAATATTTACCGGGATTGTCAACTAGTAAAACATCAATATCTAGTGGCCTGGCTGGAACTAATCTGAATTTTAGATACAGCCAGTGTGTCATATGTCTTTTCATCTTGTTGAACTTAAAAAATAAATAAATAAATATGAAAATATCCATGAGCTGTCACCATGGTTCACCGTGAACCATTTGTAACTTTAATTAATATAATTGCCTGTTTGATACTCACCTATTTGAGCATTTACTGCTAGGATATGTCTGTTTTATTATGAAGCCACGTCATATTTCATGAAGAAGACAAGACTTCAAGTGTTTGAACGACTGGGTTACTAGGCAGTAGAAATGCTTAGTTTTACCTAAGACCAACTACTGATGTGAAAGAATCAGTGTGACTACCAAACATATATATCGTGGTGTTTTTATTTATTCAGTTCTTTTGTCAAACAAAAAGTTGAAACAAAATGTTTGTTAACCTGACAATGTTGAAATGTATATTTTCAGCTGATCTTCACAGACAGCCATGAATACATGAGCCCAGCATGGAAGGTACGTTCACTCTAGTATGTAGGTTTGTGCCCAGCATGGAAGGTACGTTCACTCTAGTATGTAGGTTTGTGCCCAGCATGGAAGGTACGTTCACTCTAGTATGTAGGTTTGTGCCCAGCATGGAAGCTAGTATGCTGCCCAGCATGGAAGGTAATGCTCACCTAATGTAGGAAGCCCAGCATGGAAGGGACGCTCACCTAGCATGTAGGTTTGTGCCCAGCATGGAAGGCACGCTTAGTATGTAGGTTTGTGCCCAGCATGGAAGGGCACGCTCAAGGTATGTAGGTTTGTGCCCAGCATGGAAGGTACGTTCACTCTAGTATGTAGGGTTGTGCCCAGCATGGAAGGTACGTTCACTCTAGTATGTAGGGTTGTGCCCAGCATGGAAGGTACGTTCACTCTAGTATGTAGGTTTGTGCCCAGCATGGAAGGTATCGCTCACTCTAGTACAGGTTTGTGCCCCATGGAAGGCACGCTCACTCTAGTATGTAGGTTTGTGCCCAGCATGGAAGGTACGTTCACTCTAGTATGTAGGTTTGTGCCCAGCATGGAAGGTACGTTCACTCTAGTATGTAGGTTTGTGCCCAGCATGGAAGGTACGTTCACTCTAGTATGTAGGTTTGTGCCCAGCATTGGCCCAGCATGGAAGGTAATGCTCACTCTAGTATGTAGGGTTGTGCCCAGCATGGAAGGCAATGCTCACTCTAGTATGTAGGTTTGTGCCCAGCATCATGCTCTAGGTATGTAGGTTTGTGCCCAGCATGGAAGGTACGTTCACTCTAGTATGTAGGTTTGAGCCCAGCATGGAAGGTACGTTCACTCTAGTATGTAGGGTTGTGGCTGCTTTAAGGAAGACTGCTTTATGGATGTCAATTTCTTTATTATGATGAACACAAGGTATTGGAGTGTAACAATATCATGCAAACCATGACAAGGGTTACAACAGGTGTCCTGCAGCCCATGACAACTAGTGGGACAGGTTGGTCTGACTTGGCTTACTTGGTTCATGCATGTCATCATAACCCACTCAGGAAGATTGATGTTCATCATATCAATCACTAGATTGTCTTGTCTAGATTCATTGCCCCCTGCCGCAACGCGGAATGGGCGACTATGTATTCAGCGGCATCTGTCCGTACGTACATATGTCCCGATTCTTGTTAACGTGATATCTCATGAACTGTTGATTTGCGTGACCTTGACTTTATTTTCGAGGTCACCACTACACTTTGACCACTTTTCAAACTGTTGTTAACGTGACATCTCATGCACTGTTGTACCCAGTGTCTTCAAATTTGGTGACAGCATATATTGGGGTATTACACAGACACCAGTTGATTTTGGTGACCTTAACCTTATCTTCAAGGTCACCATGACACTTTGCACGCTTTTAACTCTTGTTAACGCGATATTTCATGGACTGTTGTACCCAATGTCTTCAAATTTGGTGACAGCCTACACTGGGGGATTTCACAGACACCAGTTTATTCAGGTGACCTTGACCATATTTTCAACGTCACCACCACACTGAACACATTTCAAACTCTTCTTAACACGGCATCTCATGGACTGTTGTACCCAATGTCTTCAAATTTGGTGACAGCATACATTGGGGGATTACGCAGACACCAGTTGATTTTGACCTTGACCTTATCTTCAAGATCACCATGACACTTTTCACACTTTAACTCTTGTTAACGCGATATCTCATGGACTGTTGTACCCAATGTCTTCAAATTTGGTGACAGCATACATTGGGGTATTACACAGACACCAGTTTATTTGGGTGACCTTAACCTTATCTTCAAGGTCAGCACGATACTTTGACTACTTTTTAAAGGCCATATCTCATAAAACATTGCACCCAATGTTTTCAAGTATGTCGACAGCCTACATTGGGTGATTATGCAGACACCAATCATTTCAGGCATCTTGTATGTGACCCAAAAATAAAAAGTAATAAATATGGATATTCCATTCTTTAGCGGTGGGTGACATTGCCATACCAGTGGCAAACACTTGTTTATTTAAAGACCACTGTCACTCAGTCAGAATATTGCTGAATGCACATTTAAACAAACATCAATTTTTCTGGCTTGCAAACACATGATAGGTAATTGAAAGGCATTTAGAAGTGATACACATACGGAAGAGAGATTTTACTGAAACCATTCACTCTGTCCAAACTGACCTCAGTATACATTTTGCTTTATGAAGGCCCTGTCAGACAAGAAGTCCCAGTTTGTGACAGAGAGAGGCATCCAGCAGTACCTGGGCCTCATCAAGAACAACTTCAATCTCATTGAGAGCCAGAAACACATTGGGTCAGGCAGGGACAGGAAGCTGTTCTACCAGGTGAGCTAAGTTTGAGAATGTTACTAACAGGTCACTGAAGGTCTGTCAAGAAAATATGTTTAACATGAGGGCAGTGTATGTTCCGTGGAAGTGCCAGTAATAGATTGACCTTGATGACCCTGATTTACCCTGATGACCCTGATTTACCCTGACGACCCTGATTTATCAAGGTCATAAATATCCTGCATCACTTTTGGCTTTCTTCCAACATTCCGATACACAGGGATGGAGATGATCATGATGCCTTCTGTTCAAAGTAGGTTCACTCACTCACTCACTCACTCACTCACTCACTCATGATCTCATGATCTCACTCACTCACTTTTAACTACTCAGTTGAAAAATTTCAGACTTCTTTTGAAAACTAGTAAACATTAAGATGGTCAAACTGATACACAGTGACAAAATATAACATTCAAGTTATAAGCCACCAAATTGACAAAAATTGGCAGCGGGAGATTGTTGAGTAAGGAGAACTAACATGTAATGATGTAACTATTGCTGGCCATTGTTTGACATGGTTGTCACAGCACACCTGATGATGTGAAATACTGCTGTCGTTGTTTAACAGTTTCATGGTTGACATGTTTGCTGACACAGATATTCCACAAAGTGGACAGTGTGAACTACATGGCGCGAGGGGACTGCCCCCCGGTCAGGTGCGAGGGGGAGGTGCGAGACTTCATAATGAGGGTCCGGACACAGCCACTGGAGGTAAGAGTCATAGAATGAGTATATTAAGCTGACATAAAGATGAAAATGATATATGCTGTGTATACAATCATTAAACAATACTCACTCACTCACTTACTGTCCAGGGTGACCTTGAACGAGAGACACTCCATCAGTTGGCCAGAGCCAAGTTCAACACACTGGTGGGAGATCTGTCCAGGAGGGAGAACAGACTGGCTGAAAACACTGACTACAGACTCATGCTGAACTGGCTGAAGGCGGTCAGAGGTTTAGGCTCCTAGAAAAGAAGCTCAAACTCTTGCAACACTCATGGAGAGGTTCCAGCAACACAGACTGCTGACAGAAGGTTGTGAGAGGTGGAGACAGACTAATGCCCACTAGCTACAGGCCAGGTTGTGAGAGGTGGAGACAGACTAATGCCCACTAGCTACAGGCCAGGTTGTGAGAGATGGAGCCAGACTAATGCCCACCAGCTACAGGCCTACAACTCATGTAATGCTCAGTGGCGAACACTAAACCACAACCAGGTAGCTGTCTGATTGAACATCAGATAGTGTCCAGTACAGAATGAATCCTGTCTTTTTAAGATAATGCAAGTTCAACCTTTGAAAATGTGTTGCCAACAACGGACTTTAGAATGAGTTATTCCAGAACAGCCCTTCTCAACTGACCAAGAACATGTTGGTTTCTCGGCTCTTGTCGTTATCAGTGTGGGCATCCATGTGCCCAGGTTTCTGTTAGCACTGAACTGGAATCACTTTAGATTTGTAAATGTACCACAAAGCTAGCGTTTTATTTAGATGATTTCTTTTGAAACAACACCATTTAAGAACGGTAGACAACTGTTTCATTGGCTCTAAAGGAAAGCGTCTGTTTCAATAATATGATTTCTAAAGTATCTCCTTGACAAGCAACAATTTCTGAGGTTCTGAGTTGCATGAGATTACGTACACTAAGTTGGAGCACCATCGTGTAATGAAGAATATGAACGTTATGTGTGAGTTACATCTACATCATATATATGCTTCATTGTGACTAAGGTTGTGTTTTAGTATTGACATCACACCTCAAGTGTGCTGCTGGTGTTACATCGAAGTAAACTATCAGGTGAAATGTTCAGACAATTACAGCTGATAAAGTAGCAGTGTTACAGTACCGTGTTCAGTAAATATATTCATATTTATGTTTATAAGGATCAGTGTTTGTTGACTTGACCCTCACACCGCCACCAATGGGGGTCATCCTGCTGTCTCCGCCAGACACTGACTTGCATTGGTGCCTATTTTATATTTTATAGACAAATCCTCTTTTAAACAAATCTTCACCAGTTCACTCCATCTTATTCATGATGTAATGCTCTGATATTGATCTGTTACTTTTAATCCTTGTCTCTCTGCTATTCATCTGTTCATTTTATCTTTGAGAAGTAGATGAATCTGCTTATGTATTGCAGGTTTCTTCAAACACCTTTGATCCTGTACCCACCCTAACACCTACCCACCCTATATGGCACCCGCCCTTCCCCTACTGTGCCTCCCGTCCCCCTACTGTGCCTGCCACCCTGCCCAGAATCAGGTGTCTCTCTACCCTTTACTGTGGCTCTGTATATTGCAGGGCGGTGAAGTAGCCTAGTGGTTAAAGCGTTGGCTCGTCACACTGAAGACTCGGGTTTGATTCCCCACATGGGTACAGTGTGTGAAGCCCATTTCTGGTGTCCTCCACCGTGATGTTGCTGGAATATTGCTAAAAGCAGCGTAAAACCAAACTCACTCACTCATTTGTATATTGCATATCGGCCTTCTCCACAACTAGTTCAGCACAGCCTCACTTGTATTTAATTTGTATCAGGACCGGTAAAGAGGAACATGTTTTAAATTCAGAATTTTAATACAATACCAAGTTTTATCGTCTTTATGTACTGGGTTTGGAATGGTGGACACATTCCACTTAGGTGCGTCATTGGATATATATACATATACTGTTTCCATTGTAAGTTGATACTGTATATTATACTATTGTTGTGATAGTCATTATTGTTTTCGTTTTTAGTATACTGTCTGTGATAGATGTGTTAAATAATGTATATGTACTTTGTCAGGTCCCTTTAATAAAGTGTACACTCACCTGTGCATGTTATACTGTCACCCAAACACATGTGATGTGTGTTTCAGCTGTCATGTTCATCTTAGCCCCTATGACCTGCTGGCATGGTGCAATATGTCTCGACCCATCTGAGATCGTCGGAATTGGTCTTCAGCTACCAATGCTTGCCGTACAAGGCGACTAACGTGATTGCTGACTTGGTTGACACATGTCATCGTAGATCGATGCCCATGCTGTCGATCATTGGATTGTCTGGTCCAGACTCGATTACTTACAGACTGCCACCATGGCTGGAATATTGCTGAGTGCGGTGTTAAACAACAAACACAACAAACAAAGCAATATAACTCTATTAAAGAAATGTCAACTCTCTCACTTAGCTTATATTGTCATTTCAAACTTCCTCTGCACTTGAATTTTCATTTTTTATAGACATTTCCTTAGAATCAATTTGTTCCATTTCTGCTGATCATCATTTATACATACTGACAGAATATTAGTTCACATAAAAACCAGTTTTTTTCTCAACCCTTACCCCAATTGTCCAGCAGATAACATTATTTGTCTTTCTCCTGGCTGAATGTTTTGTTTATCAAAATATTATACATTATTCATATGCAACAATAAATCGTGTACTTAAATACTACTGAAGTGTTGGTTGTGTGGAAAAAAACTGTCGATGCGTGATCAAGGCTGTACAGATCTGTGATGTCTCGCTCTGCCTTTCCATCATAAAGTAAAGACGTGTCACAAAATACCATATTTAAATCATATTTACAGCTGGGTTTTATTTTTCACTGGTGTTTGTTGGTTTGTTGATATCATTCTGGCCTGTAACGTGTCACGATTCACAAACATCTGTACAATATTCACAAGTCTACGCGAGTGTGCATCTGACGTTGTGACCCTCATTCTGAAACATTCACCAGTCAAGTCGTAAACACTCGTCCATTTCCGCTACCACTCGGGTTGTCCTAATGACAGGCGTACCAACGATTGTCACCAACCATGTCACATGATTTCAGTCAATGCTGAACCATCCATACAATGGCCTGGACAAATAGGTTACACAGACAGTAAACTATGTACACAGACAGTGAACCAAGTCCATCATAAGTTCTCCAAGCGGGGATAAATGGTCTGTTTCCGGGTCATGTCCATCCCTGTCGGTGTGGTTCTTGCTTCATCTTCAAAATGTACCGCTCGGACGGGGTCTGGGACACTTAGTGAGGCTCTTGTTGCCATGCCAACACCGTGAGTTGGGGACAGGGATGTTGGGGACCCATCTTCAAACACAGAATCATTACCGTCATCAACTTCAAAGCCCCAGTTTTCATCTCTCCATCGTACACTGTTATTTGCTGGTGCGTCTTTCACTGACTGTAGACGGACGCGTGTCTCTGTGTCCCCCCACAATGAGTTCCGCTTCTGGTTGACCAGATTCTCCTTGGAGAGACTAGTGTTGCTGCTCTTCGACAGATGGCGCTTTGTCCGGTTCCGCACGCGGTATATCTTGGACTGTCCGCTGTAAAAGCGTACATATTGAATCAGCTTGAGACGAAGGAATACAGCATATCATCTGTTACAACTCTTACCTCGGTATCTGTTAAAACTGTTTACTTCGGTATCGGTTTAGATTATGTACAGACCTTGGTGAATACGACTGTAGTACCACTAAATGCGGTGCCAGGCAAACATCCTCATGACAAAGTCAGAATTGTATAATCTGTTCAAACTTGGGCTATTATTTCTCACGGATGTGGAAATGGGTTTGTCGTTTCTATTGACTTCGGTATCTGCTAATTGCCGCGGACTCAATTAGCGAAGTGTATATTACGAGTATTACTGCATACTGATCATACATGCAACTGATCATAGTGCCTGTCCCTGTCACAGGTCCCCCAGAGAAGCCAGATGACATACCTCCTGTTCTTACAGTAAACCTGCAACAGCAACAGCACCAGCAGAACAACCAGAAGAAGGCCGGCGACCACACCCACGCCGATGTACAGACCTGTCCAATGTAACGTCTAAACCATTAATAGTCAATAAAAAGTGCAGGTTATTTGGATGCATAGCAAAGCAATGGGAGGAGGGTTTCGGGTTTGTTTCCATTAACCTGATAACACGTGGGCCTTATCAACTGACTCCTGAATGGCAGATAGGGGACCGAGCTTGTGTTTGCATTTTTTCGCTGATTGTCAATAATTTCGTATTGCCAACAGGTTATATTGTGTTAATCATACAATGATTAGTCTCTGAAGGTATAATTGTTTGACAATATATTAGTTCAGGATAAGTGTCGAGTGATCCTGTGTTTGAGTGGTCGGATTTGCACAGAATGTCTTACGTTTGTATCCCCACGAACGCGAAAAGATCCTTGTCAAAATGAAGTCCATAGCGATAAACCATTGAATGAAGACTGGTGATTGTTATTGTTATCAATACCTGTGATATCTACTATCTAAGAGGATACAGTGCTTGAAAGCCTAAAGCCATGCCCCTTCACCATGCCGTGGCGGGGATGTTGATAAAAGCAGAAGTGAAATCACTCACGAACCCGCCCCTCAGCGCTACAATACAACTGAGCAGCAATGTGCGTAGCAGAGAGTATGCAATCAAATATACTCAGCAACAAAAGTTCTTGTGACGCTATTAAATATGGTGTAGAAAAACACATGAGAAAACGAAGTTAATACAAACACTTTTATTTCATAGAACAGACATTTGACCTGCTAATGACACCTTAATTTCGGATTAGTGACAATTTCAAAAGGTAAAACACCAATCTGAATGCTTAGGGGGTAAAATGAAAAGTCCCACTCTAATACCGGCCGGTATGACCACCAGCAGAGTTGATACAGGCAACACACCTCCGTCGCATGGAATTAATCAGTCGTGTATGACATCGTTGTGGGATGTTGTCCCAGACCTCACGAAGACGTTGTTACAGTTGCTGCAGCGTTACAGGCGGATTTGGTGAGCGTCGCAAGCGTCTTTCCATTTCATCCCACACATGCTCAATCGGTGACTTAGCTGGCCAGGGAAGCACATCAACATTGTTCTGAGCCAGAAAACGTTGAACAATACGGGCATTGTGCGGTCTAATGTTGTCCTGCTGTAAATTCATCCCTGGTCCATGTTGCCGTATGAACGGTAAAACGGCTGGCTGGAGAACCTCATCCCGATATCGCTGCCCTGTCAGATTACCAGCGATGATGAAAAGGTCCGTCTTGTTTGTAGCCGTAATTCCACCGCAGATCATCACGCTACCGCCTCCAAACCGATCAATTACCATTACACAATTGTCAGCATAACGTTCGCCACGTCGACGGTAAACTCGC